TAATAATTACTATTATAGTAATTAATCTAGTGTAGTGTACTTAGAGTAGGACTATTCATAAAATCTTAAAGCATAAATAAAATCAGTTCTCCTTTTGAGTTTAAGATCGCAAGTCGTTCTGACTTGCTCTCTTGTGCACTTCGTGCGTTGGTTCTCTGAACCCCTAAGCTTCTAGCTTCTCTTGCACTCTGTGCGTTGGTTCTCTGAACCTTAAGCTTATTGCTTGCTGACTAAAAGTCTCTCCTACTTCCTTAGAAGAGGGTGACTTTAAAGTCGTTTAATTAGTTCCTTAGAACTAAGTGGCTTTTAGCCTTAACTCTATTTAGTTCTCTAGAACTAAGAGGCTTCCAGCCAAAAGTCTTCCTCTGGCTAAAGAGCTGTGCAGCTCCGCTACACATATAGAGCGTTTCAAAACTGGATTACCGCATGCGTAGCAGAACCAATGCGTATACCGGATCAGCTCACGCTTCGAAACGGACCCGACGTACTGAGCAAGTATACCTGGACTTTTACAAGCTAGGGGTTACACATAGGCGCCATCAAACACACCCTAGCGGCAACCTCGCCCTTATCGTCCTCCATTAAACCAACAACGGCGTTCACTGAATCATCAATCTGACAGATGCCCGAAACTGATCAACAGGAGCTAGTGAGTATACCATGCGCACACAAAACGCGTCGCTTGTGTTTACAGCGCATCCACAGCTACGTGGTTTTCAATGCAGCTTAACTATCTCCATCAACAACATGTACGCGCCCACAGCACTACAACATCAACCGTTCCATCGTACTAAGCAACAGATACAGCACTTACGGCAGTCATCACCAGGCTACAACACAGAGACAGCTCTCAGGACGGCAACTACTTCCCAAAGTCATATTCATGAGCAAAGGCTGAGAACACGAACAGATTCTCACGGACATAGCTGGTCGGGGCTAAAAAGATATGGTGGATAGTTGCTCCATCTGTGTGACAGACAACGCTCTGGATACAGCGGAACAAGAGTAACTATAAGCAGGAAGTGCGGCCAACGGAGCAAGAGGTAGCGAAACAAGTCAGACAAGTCCTTTTTTGCCAGCTCCGAGCGGTCGCTGTCAAGGAACAACGACGAGATTGGAATGTATTCAATGGTGTCTACCTTCGCCTAGCAACGGAAATGTTCCAAGATACCATCGTCAGCCGGCAGCCACGGCCCTCGTCAGAGGTACTCGAGTGGCTAAGAACATCAAAAATTTTGTAAACTACAACGGTAGGTTGTGGGGCAAGAGCATCAAGTACGTAAGGACCTACGCCTGCGCCACACCCCGCAATTGACACAAGAATATCCCTGGAAATACACCGCAACGGGCTGCGTCAGTGGCATCTCGGTGGACTAGGAACACAGTCGCAACGCGTCATCGCCCTGGAGCAAGAGAGCAATGGAATTCATTGGAGCATTGCTGCAAACAAGATCGAGGATCAGCGGACGGCTGCCGACTGCAAGCGGCTCCGCAAGAGCCAGGAAGCATCCACGGGTACCCGTGGTGCGTGCCCGACACTATCGCGAACAGGCACGTACTATTGGCCCTAAAGAAACCACCATTTCGTCGGTACCAAGGTTCGGACAGTGTGCTCACACGAACTCTGAAGACGCTTCGGGATTCAGCGGATGGCAGACAGCTGCTTTACAGCAGACGCCAACCGATGTCTGGGCTCATAGGAACGAGCCCACCGCGTACCAAGTGTGGGCGTCTATCGAGTAGCCGTACGGCAACTAAACCGTTTCCATCCAGATCGAGAGCAAGATAATAGTTGCCGCAAACTCCTATGCTGCCGAGGGGTGAAAGAAACACTGGAATACATCTGCTGGACATACCCGTGCGCGCAAGCCTGCTGGCAGAAGCTCATCTGTCATTGGACAGGGGAACGCTGGAAGCATGGACGGATTCAAGACTTTCTAGCAAACAGTGCAAGCAGACACGTGCCAGGTATATACACGGCGGTCCTGGCACAGCTAGCGCGATACCACCCAGACGAGGTGGCCGCATACACCGCCGTGTGGACACGCATATGGCACATCCTAAGCAGTATTTGCATCACCAGCTTGTGGATACAGCGCAACCGCGTGACGTTCCAGCAAGCGGACGTGACCATCGCAGGCAGCGTGCAGGAATTTTACGAGACCAGCATGCGGCAACTTCGCGCAGTTGCGAAGCGAGAGTACCGACGATTACACACAAAATTTCAAGGAACCCGTCTGATGCAATGTCAACGTGCCATAGCCAGACAAGCCCCGTACAACCACCGATCCGAACGAAGAACTGGCGTTGCTAACTAGGCTTAGGATCTACCAGACATCCTGCAACCACTAAAGGGTTCAAATAGACTCGTCTGCCTCTCTCTCTTTACAACGGTAAGTAAACAGTCTGTTCTCACCTCCAACCAGGAGGCGGAGAGGCGGTGACGCGCGTGCAAACAATTCAGTGATGGGCTGATGTGACTGTCCCTGTTGACACTGAGGCTCAGAAACTAAGAAGCCTACAGAAGAACTTTTCTTCTAGCTGAAATCAATTGGCTGTTCCGAATCTACTCTTCCCTCATCTAGTGTTCCCTCTAAGGCTTCGAGCTTCCTTCATTTTGTAATTTACTTCCAAACGCACGTTTTTCTCCTCTCCTTCGTTACAATTTTACTTCAGTATGCGCATTTATTTGGTGGCATTCTTCGTTTTAACCGCTCTACTTTGCGAATGGTGAAGCTGCAAAGTCCTTGACAGGAAAAGAACTACTATTGGAGACATTTACGGACGAAACCAAGGCCACAAACCAGCGTGCTCTGAGAGATACCAAGCAATCCAATACTGACAACATCGAAGATGAAGAAAGGCTCTGGGTACCAAAATTTATCATCAACCTACTAAAAAAGGTTGGCGTTAAAGTGACTTCTAAGAAAGTCACTAATGACCTATTAGATAGGTCACCAACAATAGGGTTACCGAGGTAAGCTTGATGACATACATCATACGAGTTTCGTGCTGAATGTCATCAATAACAAAAGAACATCCATAACGTTTGCTTAGTCACTTGTTGAGCTTGACTTTGTTTCTACCTCTTTGCAACGAAGCGGAATTACGTGCGCAGTTGCTTGTCTCCTCCCAATTTCTTGCCATCAGCATCAGATCCAGACATCGCGGCACCCGTCGAACATACACGCTTCGAGCAAAAAGCCAAAGAGCATTTTACATTCAGAGACGTTCACGTAAACGCCTTATCTAAACACTATTCCAAACGTGTTCCCTATTGCCATGAGCAGATCCCAGAGGTCATCGAGAACTGGGTCCTTTATATTACGGTTTAGAGCATTACTACTTGCGCAGTGCCGGTCCGTAGTACAGCACTCTGAGAGCATAATGCACCAAAGCGTCATGCCGAGGGCTGTATAACTTAAAGCATGCTCATTCTACTCGCTGACTAAAGCCAACACCCAGGTCAGTAATAGCTTGTTAGCTTGCTTTCCCGTCGGCTCGAGAGCGGCAGATGTAGGCACCATTCCATGAAATTCTCTCCTTGTTCGCTTTTCTAATTTATTAGTCGCTGCTCCGCCGTCGCTCCTCAACGTCGGACGGCATCGCTTCAGCTGCTCAAAATTGTTCAGTAGCTGTCACTTGGTTGCTGAGTGGTAACCCGGCAGACTACGTTCCAGTAGAATTCTGCAAGCGGCATAGGAGTCACTTTGATACATACACAGGAGCGCTGGAGCTCGTGTATGCTTGGTATAAAAGATTCACACCACTCTTCTTGATCTATTCTATGCAGCAGTAGTCCTCGTCATCGGCGTCGTTGCTCAAAGGAGTCAATTTACGTACGGACTCACCATCTTGAAGATATTCTTGCAGTATTTGCGGATCCCTGTCTTCTTAATGGATGGAAGACCTTCTTTTCCCGTCGAAGGCGAGAGCACTTGCTTCGGATTGTATGTGTCTGGTGTTCAAGAGCTTCAAGAGTGGGTCGGCATCTAGACTTGAAGTCTGAGCACGTTACTTCAATCAAGCTATGAGAACTCGGGCGTACCGAAGTTTTGTTCTCCAAGCCCGGACGTAGACAGTCTCTCTTGTCCTTCACCGCCATCAAGGTATCTTTGTCACTAGTGGCAGCCGAGTCGCTACGTAGCAGCCGCTCCACTACGAACCCTCCGGATTTCTTTCTAGTAAAACTGTTTTACAAACTTAACGTCACGTTGGTGCCTATCATAGCTGCGTGAACATTTGAAATAACGTCAATGCAAAGAACCGATGATTTGCCTCTGACGGCCAGTAGCCAACTGGTCATCAGGAGGTGTATCTGAGACAAGGTGCGAAACGATTGCTCGGCCAGGCAACTATCTAACGATTGACACCAAGATTTCGACGCAGGGAATTCAGACCTTTAAGCGTGTGGAGCAATGTATTGAGGCGGCCGGATCCTTTGAGCCCCGATTGGGCATGGTGACTAATGGCAGGGGATACCTGCTTTACAGATTTGCCAAATGACAACCGTCCGGCAACTGTTGACACTTCGCGTTGGGGAGCAGCTGGAGCCAATGGCCAGTGCATCGAGTAGACTCGGATTGAAGAAAGTCTTCATGAATGTCATTACCTATCCATGTCACCACATCCGACCGTAGAGCGCACCTTTCGTGAAATGTGTTATGTATCGCCTCAGAGTCATCGTACTCTAAGCTACTGACTGTCCTATGTGTAAACATCGACGTATAGGACTCTGTATTTGGCATCACATCGCTACATCGAGTCTGACGCACAGAAAGCGTTCTTATCGCTAGTATACAGTAATAATAATGGTAACTGCTACTAAAACAACAATTTATCTATTTTCTTTTTTTAGAACAAGACGTTATTAATTTTCTAAATGACAAAGCGATTTAAATCGTAACAATGTAAATATTAAGTTATGGGTCTTCTGATTCGAGGCGTAAAATAAAAATAAATTGCAACACCGACCATCCATAGTCCAGTAAAAGTGCGTCATGGCGTCTCCGACTTCCGTGCGCGTGTATGTGGGCGGTTTGCCAGTGGACATCAAGACAAAAGAACTGTATGATCGATTTGGTACCTTTGTTGCTAGCGCAATGGACTGTCAATTGACGCACGTGGAGGTACCGAATCCAAAAACACGTGAAAATTCCGTGGTGCCAAGCGAAAGTTGTCGCGGATTCGCGTATCTGACGCTCCAGGGTGCAGACGCTGCAATACAGAGCGAGGCATTACGAAAGACATATAACCGAACAAAATGGAGAGGAACGGTGTTAAAGGTGCAAGTGGCTAAGCCTCATTTCAAGCTGAAACTGAAGCAGGAAAAGGAGAAGCGAGAACTTGAGGAAAAGGAACGAGAAGTGAAGAGACAAGAGATGCAGAGGATGCAGATTCATCCACCTTGTAAAGAAGTAGAGCCTATGAAGGTGACGGTCACATTTCAAGGAAGGAAAACGACCAAGTTTTCAGACATGGACGAGGTGGATCATGTGGTGAAGGAGGAGGAAGTGAAGGTTGAGACAGACACGGAGAGTGAGGTCGACGTCGTTGAGAGTGAGAGTGAGGACAAAGTGGTACAGGAAAAGACTCTTGGAGAGGATGATGGTGCTGAGAGTGGGAGTGAGGACGAAGAGGTAAAGGAGGAGGTTCTTGGAGAGGATGACGTCGAAGCCTTTGTGAGAAAAATGGAGGAGGAAGCTACTGAGATGATGCAGGACGAAAAAACAAAGGTGCTGAGTCGAGAGGAAATGAATGCACGACGTCTAGCGGCGTTGGAAGCTAAGCAGAAGCGAAAGAAGCAGGAGAAGATAGTGATTCCAGCTATTGGAGAGGCTGTGGGCAATAAGAAGATCACATTTGATGATAGTGGCAACGAGCAGGAGTCGGAGAAACAGGAGGAAGAAGATACTGGGGTGGTTTCGAACTGGATGGACTCGAGCGACGATGAAGCGGACCGGGTTGATCGTGGAGCGCATAAGACGTTCGACTTTACGGACGGTGATGATACTGAAACTATTGCTGCTGATGCGGAAGCCCAGGCTGCATTCGCACTGCGACCCGAGTTCGTTGGTGAGAAGGGTAAGAAGCTGTTTGAGATGCAGAAACGCTTCGGAGGCGACTCGCGTTTCCGTCTGGATGCGCGCTTTTTGGAAGAAGAAGCCAACGAATACGGCGGAAATGACGTGGGAGATGACGACCAGCAAGTCGATGAGAAGGCCGTTGCTGAGCTGCAGAACTTTCTAGAGGAAGAAGATTCGCAAGAAGCTGCTCGTCATGCACGTGAGATGCGCGAAGAAGAGGAGGTCGCTTTACGGGTAGTGTCGAAACTATTCCCTGATGTAGATGTAACACGCTTGCAGCGACGAATGCAAGAGCAGCGGGCACCTAAGGATCCGCTAAAGGAAGCAGCTTGGATGGGTGAACTGAAGCGATATAACCCGCGCGACGCTCATGCATGCCGCGAGTTTGAGATCCCGATGACGATTGTTTCATCTGACGCTCAGGAAGATGAAGCAATGACTGCCTTGCCCAAGCGAAAGGAAAAGGAGATTCTGACGGGCGGTGACCGATTTTTTTCTATAGCCGGCGATCTCAGCAACCTTTTTTCGCGTGTTCGTAAGAATTCGGAGGACGGCGAGGAAGGTGAAGCAGCACTTGATGGTGTGTTTGGGATTGGTACAGCTACCACTGAGACTGGAAGTGACGCTCCTTTCAAGTTGAGCTCTTTGTTTTCCTTTCCGGTTGGAGAGAACAAACCGCTGGTGGCAATGGGCGAGCAGCTACTTGAAGATGAACAAGAGGAGAGAGGACCAAGTGCAGGAGACTGGACCTTCTCTCAAGGTTTTCACCCGACAGATGACATGATGGACGAAGGAATGGCCACAGATAGTGAAGCTGGTGATGACGCTGGCGATGAAGTGCAGACGAAGGCTGCGCTGACTAAGAAGCGTGCCAAAAAGAGTCTCGAGGAGTTTTTAGCATTTGGTAGAACGTTTGTCGACGGCAAAGAGGTTGCAGACTGGCCTGAGCGCCGGAAGAAGCTCACACTTGATTACAAGCGCAAGCGGCGCGATGCCGTCAAGATGAAGAAGCGTCAGAACAAGCAACAGAACAAAGCCAACAAGACAAAGACAGATGCCACTGCCCCAGGGACAGCGACACTAAGGTGGAAGAAAACCAGGCTCTAACTTGGAATAAATAGGGGTAAAGCATTCGCTCAACCTGCATCTCCCTGCTACCTATTATCGATATATTTTACCTTACACGTGCTCCAGTAAATTGAGCGCACCGTCTTACCGTGCTGCTGCCCGACATTGCATGATGAGTGTGGTGGTGAGTTGCTGCCTGACTGCCTCTTGGATTCCCGCACGGGCGGCGCAGCGTCGGCTGATGACACGCCACTAGCTCAACAGCTCCTCAAGCTGCGGACCAGCGGTCTCTCCATTTGCGACCGTCATTAGTTCTGATATTTGCCCTGGACATCCTCCAAGCGAATTAGCGGGAGGTTCGTGTTGCTGCGGCGGCGGGCCGTAGTACGGCTGTTGATACGCTATCATCGTGTCGTGGTGATACGCTGCTGCTGCGGCTTGTTGCTGCAGCTGCTGGTGCTGGAGCAGCAGCGCGTTCACAGCACCAGCGTCCAACGACGGCAATAGCGATTCCCAACGGCGATCTTCGTCCTCATCGCTACCCGCTACCGGGGAACCCGAAGCTGCTCGAGGTTGTGACGAGGCTTTATTCTTCTTTGATGCAGCCTTACCATGCCAGATCTGTCTCGGGTGAATCAGCAAATCTGGCCGCCATCCGTCACCACGACCGTAGAGCTGCCAGCATCGCACGAAGAACGCCATTCCTACATCGTTCCTGGTCTCGTCGCCAAGAAGCTCGGTATCATCGTCCTTGTGCGATGATCGAGGCGCAAGCATCGCTGCGAGTTGATCCCTTGCGAGTCGAAAGGCACGCTTCACGACAGGAAAGCCCTCAGCGGATACACTGCGCGCCAAGTTATTCTTGTCATTAAGTGGATCCACAATGTTGCATGCACGAATGGGAAACAATCCCGTCGTAGCACCCCTGCTGCTTTTTGAAGCAGCGTCAAATGCACCAAACTGATCATTCAGCGCGTCGCGAATCGCTTCAACATCATCCGCATCCAGCATGGCAGAATTGTAATCAAGCTTAGATGAGATGGTTCCATTCAATGGCGTGGTTGCCAAACGATTTAGCGGAACAGCGCCATGCAGTGTGAGAGCCAACTCGTGCCAAGGGAACTCAGCCACCCGATCCAGAAATAGATACAGCGCCTGAAGGGGGTGGGTGAGAGCATCGCCGTACTGGTTAAATAGCGCCATAACTATCGTATTCACAGCATACGTAGAGAGCGCACCATGGCTCGCTCCCATTACAGTTGACGGCGTGCTTCCTGATACCACCGACAGCCCAAGCCCACCAGTTTCCGCCGATGCTGCTTGCATGTAAGGACTGGACTCGTGCGTGCACCAAGCCTTGATGAGTATGAGGCTCTTCTTGAGCAAATGTTGCCGCCCCACACGAATCGCCATAGCGTCTAACAGTCGCACGGCACCTAACGCTCCCACACGGTTTGCCGTGAAGTCCACAGGGATATTGTCAACTGTACACTTGACCACTCGAACGTCCGCGTTGACAAAAGTCACATTGCGTACTGTATTCGTCATCAGCAGTGGACCGCTCGCACTTCCAGCAGTAGGTCCAGAGGGCAAGCTAGTACTGCCCCCATCCAAAGCACCTCCCACGGTACCGATGTCCAGCACAGTTCCGACCCCACCACTGCCTCCAGCAACGCACAATGCCTGGGTGACAATATAGTACCACGACGATTCCAGTTCTTGCGGCACCAGCAAACAAACGTCCAAATCCGACCCTGGTAGGTACGTCTTCATTGGGTAGGATCCAGTCGCAAAGAACAGCGGTGCCGCTGCCAGAGGGAAATGTGCAGTTATTACACGCTGCACAAAAGAGAGAACTTGTTGTCGAACGCGGTCAGCAGCATCACCTGGACCCATCCACTCAATTAGTGCTTCAGCCTGACGTGCTGCTGCACCCTGCACAGGAAATTGTGTTCGCAAACGACTTACTCGGCGCGCAAGAGCTGCTGACTTGGCATGAGCGCGGGCCTCTATTCTGCGTACCTCTTCTTGGGGAGTTATATTTTGACATAACTCATCTTGCGCCAAGAGACTCTTCAGCCGTGCGATCTCTGCATCCTTTTCTTCAAGAAGCTTCTGGTGTGCTCGCAACTCCTGCTGGTGTTGCTCTGCAGCTTTTAATGCCTGACCATAAGCAATAGGCCGTATCACGAGCGAAGGCAGCTTCCCGGGATTTGCATTCGATTGTGATGTAGTAGGCGTTACCGGGAAATGATGCATTCGCCCGTGCCCAGTACCTGAGGTTGGGCTCGGAGTAGAACTTTGAGGCAAAGATTCACGTAGCTGTTGAGCTTCTGCTGCCAAATCAATCAAAACATCGCGGGCACGTTGGATATCATCCTGCAAAGCGTCACTCATTTGCTTGCGCTCGGCACGTGCTAACGCCTCGTCAATTGCACTCTTGTCACGCTCATCAGATGCATGCTGTAGGCATGCACGCAACTTTTTCAGTTGTTTTTCGCGTTTCTTCAAGTATTTCTCATCCACAAGTACCCCCTTTGCTTTGCCCTGACTATCCTTTCCATCGTCGCTGCTGCCTGAAACCTCATCATTAGCTTCGTCGTCAGCGTTAGAAGGAGTCGGGTCCACATTTTTAGATGTAGATGTGTCGTCTTCGTCATTAAGCAGCCTGATTTTCTTATGTTCGTCTAAAGAAACATCATCAACTGTCAGAGTCTCAATCTCGGTCTGGTCCTTATCTTCCGCACCATCACTAGAGTGCGCCCGGATTTGTATCCTAACTGCTCCAGTTTCTAACGGCTCATCAGCTTCCTCGTCCCACATGCTCTCCCATGCTTCATCTCGAGTCATGACGTTCGCCACAACCACATTGTGCGGGATAGTAATGGCTCTGGTTGTGCTTTCTCCATGTTGATCAGCGACCTCTTGGAGACTTTCACTCGATAGTTTACGCAACTGCGCTTCGTCACTTTTATCCAACATTACGTCTTCGCTGCAGAGCATTGTCGCCACCGATTCCGTCCTCTGCTGATCGATTATTTCATCGTCCACAGAAGCTTCAACGACAACACTCTGACAGCCTCGTTCATTTTCTGGCATTTCCTGCAAAATCCCAGGGGAAGAGGACTGTTCTTTGCTCTCCATTGTCTTCATTTCGCTTCGCATGTTTTGTGACTGCGTTTGTTTTGGCTTCCGGTTCTCGCGTGCCAGTTCCTGCTGTATCTGATTCTGCTCTTCCTTTTCCTGCTGCTGGAGCAACTCCTCTTCGTCCTCCAGCAACACATATCCAACAGGGAACTTCCCGTTCGTACCAGTAGCGACAACATTGCTACTGCTAGATTTTTTCTTTTTCTTCTTTTTCTTTTTCTTATTTTTTACGGACGACACGTTCCCGTTTGCGTTTAAAACACCAGCACCATCAATATCGTCGGCATTCTGTTCGAGCCATGCCAGAGCCTCACGCTGTTTCCTTTCTTCAAAAGCAGCTTTGCGCTCGCAGGTCTCTTGCAACTCCAACTGCGCTTCCATGTTGTTGGCAAACGAGTTCAAAATTGTCTGGTAGTCCTCTTCTGCTGCATTGAACTGCTCACTAGCTAAGCGCAACCGGGCGCGACAAAGCAGGGCTTGCGCCGCAACTTCACTCGTGATCTTTCCAGTTTTTGCATTCTTCCCTGACAACTGAGAAGACTTCGCCCCGTGACCGCCAAGATTTAGAGTCCCACCGGACGCGAGCTCCATTGTAACTTTCCCAGTAGAAGCAGCCTCTTCAATTCCAGTGTTGTCAAAGTGCGCGTGAACAATAGATGAATAGTCCTCCTCCGCTTCTTTAATAGCCCCCAACTCTTCATATAACTGCGCTCGCAGTTTCAGTCCATTGATAAAAAAGCCATTTACACGCAATACTGCAGTAACTTCTTCCACAGCACCTTTTAAATCTCCACGCTGGCGAAAAAGCTTTGCCCGGCCCATACGCACCTGAAAATCGTGAGGATCAAGCTCGAATGCACTTGCAAAATCCACCAGTGCGTCCTCGTACCGTGCAAGATGTACGAGTGATTCACCACGCAATCGAAATGTCTCTGCATTACTCGAATCTAGTTCCAGTGCTCTCGAATAATCACGATAAGCACATTTCTCCAGCCTTCGAGACTCAATACCTCGATATGGTGCTGGCTTGGGAGGGACGGATGTATATGTCAAAGTTTTTAATCTCCTCTTAATAGAATTTTGCATCGACAGTCCCTGTTCCACTGCAGCTAGTTCAACGTCTTTCCGTTCCCGAGCATCTTCTTCCAACGCCATTCGTTGCTGTAACTTGGCTCTCTCCAGCAACACATCCAGCGTTCGAGCTTTAGATGCTGTCTCCATTTCCAAAGGAGCTACAAAGCCTGCAAGTCCACCTACCCCTCCGGAAGCATCAAAATGTCGCCCCTCCTCTGCTTCTTCCTGTAGCTCTAAAAATCTATCAAAGTCCTGCAATGCTAATGGTTCTTGATGACACTGGAGATACAAGTGTGCTCGTTCATAAAAGAGTTCAAGGTCACGATTTCCACCTGCTGAGCTCTCGGCTTGGCTAAGATCATCCAGTGCATGGGTAATATTGTTCATGGCTTTGTAAACTTTAGCTCTGGCAAGGTACAATCCCCGTAATTGCATTAAAGTCGCACTACTTGCCGCAAAACCATCACACTTTCTTTCCAATCCATAATCATGAAGTAACCCTTGAGTAGCAGCAAGATTAATGGCTTCATTGTAGTCAAGTAATGCGGCACGGTGTTCTCCCAGAGCAGCATAGGCTTTTCCTCTTTTCGCATAAAGCTCAGCACTCTTGGGTGTCATGTGCATGACTCGAGAGAGGTCTTCAATGGCACATTTGTACTTGTGTGACGCTAAGTAACACAAACCGCGTTGATGGTACAATTTAACGGTACTACTGCTTGTTCCTACTTCAGGTGAAGTAGTCAATGTCAGGAAGTCCAAAGCCTCGGTAAAGTAAGGGACAGCAGCCCCAAATTGTTTCTTCTCCATAAGAGAAATCCCTCGTTCCATGGCTCGATCGACAGAGCCACGGGACCGCCGTGTTGTACTATTGGATGTATTGTTTAATTGTTGTAGAGTACGGTACTGGTCAATGCCTGAACGCAACAGTCGTGTGTCCTCATTGGTTGCATTATTAGTAACACTAGCATTCATCTTGAGATTCATTTGCATTTTCATACGTGTAGCCACTGGAATTTGTATCCGTTTGTCCACGTCGTCAAAGGATGCATTATCCTTGATTGACTTCTTTTTCTTTTTGCTCTTATTATAAGCCGCACCTTGTTGCTGCAACTTATCAGTCTTCATACTGAAATGACGGTTGTCTTGATGACTTCAGTTAACCTAGTCTCTTACCCGCACTCACTACAGTAAAGATACCAAAAATGACTGATGGAGTGCGGAATGGTGCTCAACGAGTGCGGAAATGCGGGGGGTAGTTGAGCTTTTAGGTGACAACAGCTTTTTTCATCCAATCATTTGTTTTTGATCGACTATTCAACCAATCATATTATCGCAAGAGTCTAGTCCACACAATATCAGTGACTTGCATTTTCCACCTACAAGACAGTTCCATCATGGCGTCTCTAGCTCGGACTCGTCGTCTGTACGCATATGTACGGCAATCAACGCCACTTATGACGCGTGCATTTGCATCCAACGTGTCAACAGTGCCCAAGTTTTCCGTAGTTGATCATCCCGTAACTGCTGATGCAATTAAACCTGAAGATTATTTCGCTGTCGTGAAGCTCGCTGGGACGCAATACAAAGTGACACAAGGCGACGTCGTTATTACTGAGAAGATTAAGGATGCAAAAGTTGGAGAGATCCTGGATATTAACGAGGTAGGTGTGTAAGTCTTTTTTGTGGACGTCTCCGTGACGTTTCTATAGAGAAATCTCACTGTAAATATGGTAATAATTATTGTAGGTTTTACTATTGGGCAACGTGAACCAGACAATTGTGGGGAGACCGCTCGTGGATGGTGCCAAGGTGCGTGCACGTGTGGAGGAGCAGACATTGGACGCCAAGATTGACGTGTTTAAGAAGAAACGTCGAAAGAATTACCGTCGTTGGAACGGATTCCGTCGCGAGGTGACGGTCTTGCGTGTCACGGACATCGTCCCTTGAATAGCGGACGATAGAAACACGATTAGAAATGCGATCCGGATAATTCATCTTGAAATAGTGACATGTGTTGGACGGCTGTTTTTTTCTTGTGGCAGTAGCATCTGTTATTCTCTTGGACAGTTTTGTGCCATGACTGGTCCTGACGCGCCCTGTCCAATCAATCCATCCCTAAACGAGTCCAGTAACTCGAACGTCGATCAATCGTCATGGCTGACCTGGAACACGACCACGCGCACGACCACTCGCATGACCATGCAAATGACCATCACCATGAGGATGTCGATTCGGATGATGAAATTCCGGCCCTTGAGGAGGCCCGGGATGCTACCGATGCCGAAAAAGGCAAGCACAACCGCTCGGAGAAGAAGTCACGCAAAGCCATGCAAAAGCTTGGCATGAAGCCCGTGGGTGGCATCATCCGTGTGACTATCAAGAAAAACAAAAACATGCTGTTTGTTATCTCGAAGCCGGACGTGTTCAAGAGCACGGTGAGTGAAACGTACGTCATCTTTGGCGAGGCCAAGATTGAGGACCTGAACGCCCAAGCACAATCGATGGCTGCCCAGCAATTCAAGGCCCCTTCAGAGGAGGTCCCGGTCGCTGATACTTCTGCTCCCGTTGTGGAGGTTTTGAACGATGACGACGACGAAAACGTCGACGACTCGGACATTGACGCCAAGGACATCCAGTTAGTCATGAGCCAAGCTGGTGTGAGCAAGGGCAAGGCTGTGGCCGCCCTTCGCTCTAATGACAATGACATTGTCAACGCCATCATGGAACTCACGATGTAAGGAGCCATAGTTTAAAAGCCATGTAAGGTTTATGGGAATGTCTCTTTGGGTTTTCCGTAGATAATTGCTGTTTGTTTATGAAGAAAGAGATGGATTGATGAGGAAGATAGACCTTAGTCAACAACGTCTTAGGTCGACTTGGCTCTAAATGCAAAGAGTAGAATAGAACTCTTTCGTGGATCAACTGGCGTCCACTCAAAGAATCAACTCTTAAAGTCCCAAACCAGTACGACACTTTCAGAGCGGGTCTGGAATGATATTCTGAATGATACTATCACGGCACCTGACATTCAGCTCAGTCATAGTACCACTCAGCGATATGAAACATTCAGAATGATTTTAATCAAGAGGTTGTGAGCAGGAAACATTCTTGTTGCGAACCTCTTTCCATAGCCGGCGACTGCTTTGCTGTTTCTGGACTAGATTCCATGAGCTAAATAAAGCAATCGCACGACGCAACAATGTTTCGCAACACGAAAAAAAGCTCTACAACCGTGACAAACTCATATACAAACCACGATGAAACAAAGATAAGTTTGGCTCGCGTGTGATAGATAAAAACGATAGAACTGTCGATTCGCTGATGCAACTTTCAAAGGTTAGTCGTTGGTCAAACAGGTATCAAGAACAAGCTTTCTTCTTGATACTTATTACTGTACATCAGCATCATTTGGCAGTCCTATCGACGCAACACATTTATTATACGACAAAGGGTTTGAGTTTTAACGTGGCATTAACTAGGAAAAACTTCGTAGCTCCTCATTTTTAGACTTCGAATTAAGCCCTTATATACGTCCCCCATCTTTTAAGCACATCCGTAAAGTGTCATGAAAATTACAGTCTTTTTGTTGCTACTCGATAAATTACGGAGTCATTATTTGTGTATGGATTTTAAAGTCATTATACTGTATTCAATTAGCAAAGCAATAAAAACGTTAAAACGAACAGCGTTTTTATATTAATCCTTATTAAGTGTCCACCACATAACTAATTGTGTCAAAAACACACCGTCAAAAAACACGTATCAATCAAGATCTGCCATGAAGCTCCCATCGTTGCTACTGTTTGGAGCCTGTGTATCTGCCCAGAAGGATTCCGAGTCTATCTCAACAGTCCCTCAAGCTCCAACACTTTCTTCAGAGTATGCGGATCACTGTGCGACACTTGGCTTTGACGTCAACGCGCTTGACTGTCGTCTTTGTGACGACTTATCGACATTTTTGACATCGACGACAAAAACGTCAAAAATAGAAACTGTCAAAATCGTCGGTCAAGAATGTCGAAAATGTTGCTCGGACTTTTCCAGAGCATTGGAAGCTGAAGATCGCCGCTATGCGAACGTGGTGCTGGCCGTGAGTCAATACCGACTGAAGCGATACCCGACCGTGGCAAACTTCGTAGAGCATCAAGCCAGCAAGATCAAAGGACTGGAAGTACAAGAGACCAATTATCGACTGCCAACGCTGCAGTTTTTTGACAAAAAGGGTGTCAAAATTGAAGAAATCAGGTTTATAGAAAATATGCTGTTGGCAAGTGGTGTCAAAAAGTAGCGAATTATTGACATTTTTGACAACTGGGTGTTTATTGACAGTGTGGCGTACTGGGACGAAGATTCGATTGCCGAGTTTATTGACAAGAAATTGTTGGTGGAGAGTACGACGAAGAAAGAGAATGAGGAAGACGAAGCAATTGTCGAGATGGAAGTAAAGCTGTGAACAAGTGGACGACTGAACAAGTGACGATCTGGAACAAATTGACGCCAAAAATATATTTTTGACACTTGATTCTTGGCAGTCTTTTGTGCTGTTGATAGTGCTGTATCGGTGGACACTTTTTTGGGCTCGTTGCCAAGTCTATTTTGTACTTTGGCTTGGAGTGGCTTTGATTGGTGCTGACACTTGAGTTGTTTGTGATGTCAGGTGCTTCTTTTTTAGGATACAAGTTTGAAGTCTTGAGAAGTTGTAGGTCGTCTTGCATAAAGACCGATAAATTGGTGCGAGGTGCAAGAAGGCAGTGGTAGGAACCGAAAAAAGCCTGTTATACGACGAATGTTTTCTTTGACAGGACTAGTTGCACGCAGAACAAGTCATGACGGGGTTGTCTTCGTCGCTTTTTTTACTACATGGTGGAGTTTTCGGTACTTTGTATCATCGCTCGAAGTGTATGGTTTCTGTATATTGTCTGTTGTGCGATGTGTCTGTTTTGCGATGTCGGTGCTTTAGTTTACTGAGGTAAAGTTAGCACGATTGTTTGCTGTTGTTAGTATTGCTAATCGATCGCAAGGAATGCTGATCGACGCGGAGAATTGGAAGCAATGTTCAAACACAAAGAAACTTCGCTAACTTCTTTTGATTCATTTTCTTAGGTAATGTAAGTCGTGTGAAGCTTAATTTTGCTGCTTTGCGTCAAGCAAAAACAGAGCTAAAAAACTTTCTAGTGCCTTACTCATGCAACGCTCGGCTAACAAGATACACTGTGCTCGCAGCTCTCTAGCAGACCGAGCCCAGTAACGATGAGACCAAAACGAGGATATAGACTGCTCGTAGTACATGCTGGACACCTTCTTGCCGAAGATTATTGAAGACCACAAGAATGTAGACCGAGACACTGATCTTCTTCAGTACCTCAGAAGACTCCATTTAAGCATCGCGGCAATGCAGGTGGAAGACGCATCTTAATCAAGATATGACCGGAACGCTGATGAAAGGAAGCTTCCCTGTATCGTGCTTACTCATGTAGTAGAGTAAAGGACATGATCAATTCTGCCAGCTGACCGTGGTGAGGGAGGGGTTCTTGAAACCCACGTGAGCTGATGTTTGCTTAACAGCTTGAATGTGGAACTCGTAATCAGTCGACTTCATCTACGCGTCAACATTCACGAATAGAGCAGCAGCCAAGAAGCCTGCAAGAAAATATTCGCAAAAGGCATTGATAGACTGGTCTTCCTGGCATTTCGGTATTCCATGGAAAATCTGCTCACGTCAATGAATCCGTACGAGCTTGTAAAGCCGCACTCATTTCGGGAAGAGCAATTGGTTTCTCATGATGAGTAGCTTCATATTGGCCAAACAACATTGTTCGTGAAGCTTTTGTGGTTTCAAAAGTCATTCCTTCTAAGCATTTGTGTGCTGGCCCAAAATGCGAGCTGTCGGAAATAGCTGGTGCATGATCTTCATGTTCTTCTTTACTGTTGAGACGCGAAACCTCCGTAGAAGTATTCAAGATGGTGCGCTATTCTGCAGTTGATAAAGTGGCTCTCTATGCAGAGCATTCTCAAAACAGCTAAGCCATTTCTTGGTGGAGTTTCTTCTGCTTCGCTTCAAACGAAATCAACTCTTGGTAAAAGCCACGGTTTGGTTGTGCCTGAGGTCGAACTCGACGCAGTTCACAGAGCGCATCCAGATACGTGAAGCCGTGACGTGCCATCAAGAACGCGATGATAATCGTTGCAGACCTTGAGCGTCCCATGAAGCAGTGTACGAGCACTTTTCCTCCAGAAGACAACGCACTAAGAAGATATTAGCTACTTCTTGAGCAGATATCGTATGATGTTTCGTCCTACAACATACCTGTCGATGAAGGCGAAAGCTCTGTCAAAGAACTTGGAGATGCTGACCGAGCTCTGATCAGCCACTTTGAGCTGCAAATACGTAAAGACTTGAGGAAAGCTGTTGCACAGTCAGTCAGTGCTACATCAACGATCAAGCAAGGTCTCACTTACTTGAGTGGCAATGTACTTGATACACACAAGATGTGAGTGATTCCTGCTCCCGTCAATGCTTCTTTGTTGTTGGCAGCACCGTACGAACCGATAAAGAGTCCAGAAACGGCATCTACTTCCACCTACGCAAAGAAAAGGTTGTTGGTACGATACATGATCAAACGAGAGACGGCGATCAACCATCATGTGATCAATCTTTACCGGTGTATTGTCATGGCTCTCAAACGTTTTGGCCATCAGTGCCTCTCGCATCTTACGAAACCCCGACAACGTTTTGTTCTTCTTGTCTCGAGCCAATTCCTTGGAAACCGATGGCCACATGATGTTACAATGTGGCGTAGACGTCTTGTGAACCAGCTGATCATCTTGAGATCCAGCAGATGCGACGGTAAAAGGTTTGCTAGTCTCCATTCTTGGTGTCGTCTGACGTGTGACAATGGTAAGTTACTCACGATTTTTTCAAAGGTCTGAGGAGCTGTCGCGTTCTCAAACCTCAGCTTTGATCCGTGCAATGTCGGACTCGAAGATGGTCTCGATGAAGAAGTAGCGGAGACTTTGGCTATGAGAGGTAGCAGGCTTACTATTGTATATGTTTATTACACCTTCTTTAGCTGTTCAAGTGGACGAGAAGCTCTTCTTGAAAACAAGCAATGTACGACCGGATTCGGAAGTGATTTATATGCCGTCGCTCGAGAGTTTGACGGACGTTGGAGTGACGAGAGGTGGAGGTCGCTGTAAAGGCTGTTGAGCTTGTCCACCTTGTTCTTGTTACTGACGTTGAGCTGAAAGCAGATTGTGGTGCATTCGACAGTAGCCTTGCTTCACCTGACCATTCTTGGTGCATTGGCCGTAGCGACAACGACGAGCACCGCCGTGCATTTTGCACACGCCGCGCCATTGTGCCGACTTTTTGCAGCCTTCAATGCGACAGCGACGACCTCCACCGTGCAAAACGCAGTGACCACCACCCTGGTCGCTCGTGGTGCAGCCTGGAGTCGTACATCGTCGGCCACCGCCGTGTGCCTTGCACAGTCCACGTGAGCGAATACCCTTGGTACAACCCGCCACCTTGCACGTACGAGTGGCTGAAGTGCGCTTCTTGCGGAGAAGAGTAGACGGCGGCACCATTGACCCCGAATTTGTCGAGTCATAAGCTCCAGTCATGCCGATCATGGCGGCTGGCAACGTACTCGGTAGCACGGAGCGGTCGGACGTCTGCACGGATGGGAAAATGGGCGCAACGAGAGCAGATCCGATTGCTGAGTGTGTCTGGCTCAGCATTTCTGCTGGAACGGCGGTGGTCATGCCAATTGCATTACTGTAGAAGCCAAGCACATGTGGTTGAGACCCCGTATTGTTGCTCATGTCCGTCGAGTACATTGGTGACGCAAAAAGGAGTTGTAGGCCAGGCATTTGCTGATGGCTTCGTGACACGGTCACGTGATTAGCGTGGCCTGGCATTTGACCCGTTGGCAGTTCCTGAAGCACTTCACGTAACATCTGCGCGTCCATTGCAAGGTCTTCGTCGTTTGAACGTGGCATTGGTTCACTATGTTGAAGCACAAGTGGATGAAGTGCCGGTTGTTGAGATGAAGGCTGTGAATGAGGAACGTATTCACCAAGCACCACTGGCGTATCAGTGCTATAGGTAGGTGTACTCCAAGAAGGTACCGTCGACGTCGATTGGGGATTACGAGGGGGTAGAAGCTGTTGGGAGTAGTATCCAGTCGAAGGTGTCAAGTTGTTAAGCTGTCGTAGTGGCAAGTGGCTATGACCATAGTAACTCGTGCTCCCTGACTGGTCCAACGTGAAGCTACGTAGAGGTTGCAATGTCGTCGTCGTAGCATCCGTTGGATTCGTTGCAGTGCTTGTAGGCGACGCCCATTGTTCTTCCAAACGCATTCGGTCTTCCGGTGCTTTGAGTTGCGTAAGGAAGCTTGAAAAGTGCCCATCGGTCGAAGTGTTGTGCTCTGTCGTAGGTATCATCGAAAGAAGAAGGAGAAGAAGAAGGACGAGGACGTGGTTTGTAAGCAAAACTGCTTCGGCCGAGTGAAATCGGAAAGTGGTGATTCGAATGCTCACTGAAAAGCCGAGCCGAGCTCTGAGCTCTGAGCTGAGCTGAAGCTGTTGAGTTGTCTGCTGTAAAGACCAGAGGCAGCTTGGTCAAAGAGGATTTGAACTTTGGACGTGCAGACTTGGCTAAGATGCAAGACATACGGTCGGTATGTGAGTAGCACAAGAAACCAGTTGGCGACCAAGCACACGGCCTAATCGTAAAGGAAGTTCATTCGAGGAGAAAGACCAAGCAGGTTTGGCACTGCCCCGTTTTTCAAAAGCTTGCACGTTTTTGGCCCGACAACAAGACAGCGGAGACTGTGGTCGAGCGACCGGGTGATCCACACGACCCTACGTCAGAACGAGCTTGAGATTACGAGGACCTCAGGTGTCTCAACATGGAAAGATTCGTCAGGTAGTAAGTAGTGAGACTCTACACGTGACCGAACTGATTATAGGGTCAGTTTGGTTCGTAGCTTTGTCTTCGCGTAGGCTCCTGGTGACGATACCTGCCTGGATTCAAACACCGTGACGACAATGAAGTGCCCCAGCGAGAAGTTCTTAGACAAGTGACGCTAAAACTTGCTCGACTAAATCTTGCAAGCACGTACGTCAGCTTCACACCATGACCTTGTCAAGCATGTCCCTAGTTCAAAAGCTTGGAAGGTCTTTTGAACGCAGTTTTGACATGCGACGGAGGCCCAGCTCTTTGAACAAAAGGTGTGGGGCGGACCACGTTTGCGGTGTTCTCCTCCCCCCGAAATGTGCGACGTAACCAAACAGCAGCGATTAACACATGCTCGAATGAAGGAGATTGGAGTTTGTGTGGCTTACCAGCGCCATGAACATAAGGGGCTGCTGAAGAGAGAAGACAAGATGAGACTACTGTGTGTGTGTGTGCACTGACTTGGCTAACCGATCTGTTGTTTGTCCATCCGAGCGAGAACAAGTACGGCAGCTGAGGTAGCGTTCAGACGCTTTTGTTTTTCATGAGACACTAGGTGCTTGATTAGCTGGATCACTTGGCTCTTGTTTTTGAGCGGAGCACGTGCACAATCGACAGTAGAGATCAAGGGTGAAAGCTACTGTCCTTCTACATTCAACAATGGGACGTCATGTTGACGCTTACCCGGCATTGCCATGCGCTACTCTGCACATCTGAACATCCCTGATCGCCTATCCGATTGGGAACGAGCCAGATGAGGAGGGCGTAGGAAGATCCGCAAAGGATGGTTCGAGTCTCTTTCTCTCTCTCTCTCTCAGCTTGTGGCGACCGTCGCACCGAGAGGCAGCACTAATGGTGCAGCGAAAAATAACACCCACTCGAAGAGACAAGATGTGTGCTCATAGAGCTACAGTACGTTGCATCGGCGTTTGAAGTCATTCACATGACTTCCAAGCTGCAAACCGTGCCATCATCGCCATGCGTAGAAGTATCCTTTGCACATCGTCTTTCAACTCCGACGACGTCAATACCATGTTTTTCCTGCATGTAGCAAGCGTCATGGCCACTTGTGTTCAACAACTAGATCTGATCGTAGGTATGGATTCTGTCGTAGATCGTCGAGGCAGTGGTCGTAGATGTGTCTTTCGCAGATAAACTTGAGATCAGCAGGTTCATGCACAGGGAGTTTTGTTGATGCCGACTACCTTTTTATTGAGACGAAGTAATGCCCGTTCGGTGCGTGAGTAGTGGGAATGTGACATGCAAGTGCGTTGAGACGTGCTGTCAAATCGATGGTTCCATGAAGCTCCAGGTCACGACAAACATGAGATTTTCCATGCCGTCGACATCCCTCATGTTTGTATTACGAGCGCGTTTCGAGCTTTCAAAGTCTAGTGAATGAATATCCTTTGCACGACAAGTACTTGGAAGTAAGTAGCTCTAGCTCCTCCATGTCGACACCGAGTTTATCTTAGTCGATGCGTGACCGTCGAAAGGATAGACCATCTCTTGTCGATAGTACGTCGCCTACCGTCACATTGAAACCAAGGAGCACCGCTCAAGAGACATCCTCTGATTTGAATTGTAGTGGGCTTTTGAGCATCTACGATAAAGCTGCTACCCAGAACTTGTCACCAGTAGCAAAATACGACGGGAAACCTCTATCTGATCACCTGGCACGTACTGAAGCTCATGTAGGTCTCAAGATGTACTCACAATGGTGAAGTTGATTGATGGTTGAGGAATTCAAAAACAAGTGATGGAGGGCTTGATACCTCTTTCTTGTCCTCATGATCATGTGCCTATGTGCTTTCAAGTACAAGCTACAGAGTAGCTATCCATCAGTTAAATCTGTAGGCGACATGGACTCGACATGCAAGAGGTATCTGGTCTGCACCGAGCAATACGAAAGACTCCTCTATATCCTTTGGGACGGCGTGGTGAATCGCTTACTCCGTTTGCATAACCACGCTCTGGATGTAGCAGAACAGGAGCACCCATGAGCAGAAGAGTGCGTCCACGGAGCAAGAGGTCGTGCAAGTCAAACAAGTCCTTCTTTGCCCAACTCCGAGCGAATCTTCGAAACCGAGTCGAATCGAAAGGGTGCAAGAATTGTCAACTAAGCTATTCAACAGCGTGCGTAGAAGTACGTATGATCAATGCTACAGACCAAGTCGAGAGGATCAGGAGGGTGTATAATAAACAAACTTGTTTGACAGTTACCATAATCCATTGAGCTAGACATGACGAACATCTCTCGCGACGAACCGCACCACTACTCATTCCCATAACGATCAACATGATGGTCTTCACTCGTACGACATGATGGGGGGGGGGGTTAGTACGCCGTGTCTCGAATGATAGGTTCCTTCTTTCTAGCGCTTTTCGTTCTCGTTCTCGTTCTCGCAGGACGGTCACTACGATCACTACGATCGTTACTGTCATTCCGTCTCCTCTCACTTCGTTTATAGTCCAGATCGCTGCTATCACTGCGCTTCTTTTCCAGTCTACGGTCACTTCCATCTTGGTACTCTCGATTGCGACGCGATGTTTTCTGTGAAGGAGTAGCTGGCGTCTGCAATGCCACTGCAGCAGCGCGACGACCACTCTTTTGTGCTGAAGTTGGTTCAATGGAGTCTCCAGAACGACGACTAGGCACACACTTAGCAGCAGCTGAAGGATCAAAATCACCAACGGGACGGCGACTTGGTTCACGCAAAACTCCTGCAGATGGGTCGTATGCGCAGCGTCTGCTACTCAGAGGTTCTAGAGCAGAACTCCGAATGCCTCCTGCCTTGACATTGTAGTAGTTTGGATGAATGAACGGGACACTCACGCGTTCATCGATTGCCCGCTTGTACTGATCCCCATGACTTCGTTTCGTTCTTCCTCCAACAGCACTGGCAAGCGCATTCGCCTTGAGATTGTCAGTCTTGACGCGCATACGCCAAATCAACGCAACGACAAAGAGCAGAACCAAAACGCAAACGATGATTGCACCGATCATGATCCATGGCTGCCAAAACGCCGCATCTTCTGCGCTAGACGACACCATGGAAGTTGAAGACGGAATCGAAGACGCCACAATGGAAAACTTCTGACCAGTGGTGGTAGCGTTTTCACCGGCTTTGACGCTGTGGCCACTTACAACAGCCTGGACGTAGATGTTTCCGTCCTTGACAACCCTGCCGGCCTTTGTGACAGCAAGAAAAACGTCGTCGTAGGACACTTCTACCATTTCCACGTTGTTCACCGAGTCACGAGCGCCATTACCAGATAACGGGTAAAACAATGCTGTCGTATTTGCAACCTTCAAGGTCAAGTCGAGGTCATTTTGCAGTGCAAGTTTGCTTCCCACTGATGCAGGTGGATCTGTCCACACAAGTGTCACGCGCAGATTGACACCGGCTGTAAGCATGAAGTGGAATGTAACTTCGCTGCCTTCGACTACGCTGGGCTCGGAACCATCCGAGGAATTTGGAAAGAAGTAGATGGTGTTGCTGCTTGATGAAGACACCGATGAATCGCCGTTCGTGTCCAAGAAAGACACTAGATTGAGCATTGTCGGCTTTCCGTAGCCTTGATTGAAGTCAGGGTAAGACTTGAGCGGCTTTGCAGCAGCTTCTAACGCCACACACGATGTGACACCAGTGCCAGGCTGGACCAGACGTCGAGACATTGCCTCGCTACTGTGAAGCAGTAGTGCCTTGATCAATGATGCCGGTATCGTATCCATGCCAAACGTAGGGTCAGGCACGCCGTTCTTCCACCAGCCATCACGCAGCCACTCGTAGATTAACACGGCCATACCAGCAATGACTGGCGTGGACTGCGACGTTCCCTGTAGCGGACATACAGCCGAAGACTTGGTCGTCGAGCCTGGCTTTTCGGATTGCGACGAGATGATCGTCATACCGGGCGCAACCAGATCAGGCTTCTGTCGTCCATCCAGAGTTGGTCCGATGGATGAGAACGACGCAACGGTGTTTTCATTCAACACTGTTTGACACGGTGTAGCCACGAATGAAGCCACTGAATTGAGACTCGCACCAACCGAAACAACGTTTTTCGCCCCTGACGGACTGCTGATAGTGTGTGAGCCTTTTTCACCGCTGTTGCCTGCTGCTACAATAATGAGAATCTCCGGGTTGTTGTAAATGTATTCATCCACCTGCTCGGTCTGCGTGTTGTAGTCGTTGGCTCCTGTTCCCCATGAAAAGGAAAAGATCTTGGCACCCGTGTCAACTTGGGCCTTCATAAGGTTTGCCACCTCACCGGGTGTCTCCAGTGATACATCACAGCCACTATTTCCAGCGCACTTTGCGTCTTGCTTGCCAACGTCCATGAAGGCGATGCGTGCACTGGATGCAATGCCAAGATTACTGTTCATCTTGTTGTACGAACTACCTGCCAAAATACCTGATACATGTGTGCCGTGTCCACACGTCCCACCTTCAGCCTCATCCACGTTGTTTGCAAATGTCTGGTAGTAAACCACCTTGCGCGCAGTCATATCTTCTGCGTCGTACATCTTCCGTGATTCCTGGTCAAATTGATCGTGATCAATGTAAAGTCCTGTATCCGTTATACCTACAATAATGGAGCTACCCGTGATGTTGTGTTCCCGCATAATGTTAACACCCATCACATCTTGGACGTAGTCATCCAGTCGTCGGCTCGTGTGCTCCAGTTTCGTCTCATCCATATCGGTCTCCTCATCAAAATTCTGACGAAGCAGTCGCTGCTCAATGGCAGGCGTCTTCAACGCTTGCAGTGAACTTGTGGTAACTACCTGTTGCAAATCGACCCACTCCACCGCTTCGTCATCTAGCACAATCGCCAGTGCCAGAGTCCACGTGTGATAATCATCCACCGCTGCCTGCACCAAGACACCTCCAGTCTCTGCTGTCGAGCTCTTCATCGTAATCAAATTCTGAATCCCCGTCGCCTTTGTCACACGGGTAGATAACCTCGTCAGTGCCTGTGCAGTGATTACGACGTTGGCCAACTTGATTTCAAGTGCCGGTCCTTCCTTTGACTTGGTCGAATCTCGAGAAAGAGCGTACGAACTCTTTGCAAATGGCATAAGCTTGAGAATCGCTGGCAAGACCGTGACACTTTCGACACATGGTAACGCAAGAATATCATCTCCCATGAGTGCACTCACATGGACCAACATGACGGTAGCTTTTACATTCTCCTGATCACTTCTCGTCAAAAAAGGAGTATGGCTCTCACTCGTCACGGGCCAAAGCTGTTTAATCTTCTTAAGACAGGCCAATTCATCATTCTCACTCGAGTGTAATTTGATCAACGTGGGTTTGATTTCCATAGTATCAGTTTCATCTTCCAACTCGGTCGATAAATTCTCGAGCAACTCTTTCTGTAAAAACTGCAATTGACACGCATCCGACGTCGCATTTTCACCCGACAACATGGCATCATAAGCCCTGGAAAAAGCATGATAAAAGTCCGCAAACTCATCCTTCTCAGGATCTCCAATACTAAGTGTCACGTCCTTGACATTCAAACAGGAAATAAAACTAATGACCGTCACGGCTTTTCCATCGTCACTTGCGCCATGAACATCCCCAACCATTGGTGCTTGAGACAAGAAATGAGTATCTGTAAAGGTAAAATCCCGTCCTAATCGTCGACTTTTGCTTGTACGAGTCCTGAACGTATTGCTATCAGTAAGAAAAGAACCACAAGTGGTTGCAAGACATTCCGATTGGGCACGTAAATGACGATAAACCTGAGCAACATGGACTGGACTACAGTGATAAGTACAAAAAGCTTCTTGCGATACAAATTGCAAGCCTCGGGCATCACGATATGGACTTGCTCCTATTTCATACTGGTTAATTGCTACGAGTAATAGACATAGAGAGAGAAAGAATAGACACATGCCGGAACTCCGGGCCTAAAATCTCTATGCGGCATAATGGGACGTAGGACACGAGACGAGCAGAAAGGACGGGGACGACCCGGCTTTGTTGCTTTCGTGTCCGCTGGGGAGACGCGGCTATGTACAATATGTCGTGTGGATGTGGGAACAGGGCTTGGAGGGACCTGTGGAAATGAATATTTAGGATGAATGGAGGAGGATAGGAAAAGGGTGGGATGGAGACCTGGGAAATGTAATAGATGGGGAGGATCTATTAGAGTCTAACGAGTCAGTGTGGGTTGACCAATGAATGGACACCGTATGGCGTAGCAGATGGTATCAAGACTAAAAATTAGAGGTCTTTTTTGGTCGCAAGATTGTTCGTGCTTCGTACTTTAGAGGATTATGGGTCAAAGTGCCTAAAATTGGTCGTCTAAAATGGGTACTACAAATTGTACGACTTCCTATACGTATATGACTAAGTACGTCTCACTAAGTTCGTGTCGTGAAAACCACCCGTCTTAACAACTGTAGCACGGACGGATATTCGATGCGTTCACTTCTAACGCGTCGTGTGCGTTTCTATCGACACTTGAGCCATTTTCCTATTGTGTCGAGAATCGCGAGCATCTCCTCTATCTCTTCATCTAATAACGGCAATGTACCGCTCTCTACAGCCTCCACCCTAAGCCAAAACCTGGTGTTAACATTGACACCTGCCGAAGATTCGCTTTTTTCGTTTCTCGAGTACATCCAGCGATTATATGCCCCTAAAACACAATTGCGAGTTGCTGGTGGATGGGTTCGTGATAAACTTCGTGGTACTGAAAGTGAGGACATTGATATTGCACTGGACAACGTCATGGGTGCGAAATTCGCACAATTCATAACGACATTCCAGCGGGAACGGAAATTGCCTCCAAGTTCTGTTGGAGTTGTTAAAGCCAATTCGAACAAGTCCAAGCATTTAGAGGTGGCGACGGTGATGATTGAAGGGGCCGTGGTGGATCTCGTACATCTCCGAGCGGAGGAATATACTCAAGAGAGTCGAGTTCCAGACGTTAAGTTTGCAACTCCAGCAGATGATGCGAGTCGAAGAGATTTGACTATCAATGCATTGTTTTATAACTTGCATACGAAACAAGTGGAAGATTTTACGGGGAGAGGAGTGCAGGATTTGAAAGAGGGGATCATTCGTACACCGAGAGACCCAGTGCAGACTTTTCTGGACGATCCGTTACGGGTATTAAGAGCTCTGCGATTTGTATGTGAGTTTCAATTTACGCTCGATCCGGCGCTAGAGAGGGCTGTGCTTGAACAGAGAGAGATCGTAGATGCCATGAGAAGGAAAGTCAGTCGTGAGCGCATTGGAATTGAAGTGCGCAAGATGCTTTCGGGCAAGGATCCTGCACGTGCCTTCAGTCTATTGCGGAAGTTTGACCTGCTCGATTTGGTATTTAACGACACTGCTGGTAAGGTGGGCAAGGAAGAAGAAGCTGATAAAGTAGAAGACGATGGTTTCAAGTACTCGCCGCGCGAGTGGACCGAGTCAATCCAGACTCGTGCCTTTCACTATCTCAACTATCTACAGCACAGTCGTCTGGCGCTGGCGCAGTGCGAGATATCAAATGTAGAGTCAACAGCCGCCATCTTTGCGCCTCTCTTTCTGCGAAAACTACCCAATGTTACGCTTGATGGCTTCACGAGAGTGGGCCCACCTCTTCACAACGAGTTTCACGGGATTACTGAGCAAGAGATTATAGCTAGTTCGCTCGAGTTCCTTGACCGTCAGAAAAAAATTGTCGCCGCACTTGACTCGACTGAAATTGTGGAAATGCTGAAAGTGCATGTGAAGTGGCCAAAACCAGCAGGAAAGCGTGTGGCCTTGATCATCGAAGCTATTGCCACATATCCCGAGCACGAGTCCAATGGTTTTGCATCATGGCACTTGTCAAAAGAAGACCACGAAAATTGCCACCACTATGAGGGTACAAATATGAAGCACCGCGTGCAGCAGTTCATGTGGATGATGCAGTATCACTCGGTTCTTGCGCCTGCAATGACAATCTTAGTATCGGATTGCAGCTTTAATAAGCCGAGTGGGGAAGAAGTGGATCCAAAAGCACAAGAAGTGGCGCTCAAGGCATCTCTCGACCTGGCACATTCGTATACAAAGAGCGACCGAAAAGGTGACAAGGCGAGTCAATGTCGTCGCCTTGATGGCAAGACTGTGCGGACTTGTCTTGGTCCTGGCTCTAGTAGAAACATCGCTCAGGCTCTTCGGGTTTTGCACGTATGGGAAAAGGCCCATCCGAACGCAAGCATTGAGGACGAGCTGATGTTTCTAGATCGACTAGCGCCTCTGCTCGTTACGTTCATCTGATCCTAGAGGCTGTCCTGTCATAATAAATGTTAGCCAGCAACCAGTGTCCCTGTTGTCATAGATGGGAATAAACAATATTTTTTTCCTTAGAATAAAGCCAGTTTTTATTCAGAGTATACTTTGTATAGATACAGGGGTTTAAAATAGAGTCCATCGTCCTCTCTATTTTATTTCACAACCTTATTCAAGTATACTTATCGTCGTATCTCCTGTATACTACTATCCGGACCAACAAAACCAATCGGAAAAATCGTCACTCTGTCTTTACTCCTCTCCATGGCGTCGCTCTCTCTCCGGTCTCGGCTATGGCGCACGCCATGCATGCGCTTCCATGCACACGCCTTGCACTCAAGCTCAGGTCCTCTGCATCCATGTGCAGCGTGGCGTTCCCAGACGTCTTCATCTGACTCGACGGTGCCGCAATTAATCGTGCGAAATGCCGCAAAAACATCCGGATATTTGGATATTTTGTTGCCATTGCCAGGTGTAAAAGGCCTTACACGGTTAGGGTTACAAGACTCTACTGCCAGTGTCAAGGATTTAATTCAAGTGCTGAGACAGACTGATGCGTCACTGAAGACTGTAGAGGTGGCTACACTCGACAGCATTAAGTTCGCACGGACTGTGCGACTAGGGGAACTTACGTCGATGGATTTTTGTCTTCGACTAAATCATGTGAATGTCTTAGTAGAGAGTGACGCTGCGATGATCAATGATCGGAGAGAGAGGGTGGAAACCGTTGCTTTTGCAACTGTCAAGGCGGAAATTGAGAAAGATCCACGACTTACTGTGAGTTGCACGAGTTTAATTTTCTGTTTTTTTGTGTATACAAAGTGGTAGGGGTGGGGGTATTCATTCTTTTTTTGTGGTTTTTTAGATGCCGCTGCAAGAATTTTACCGAATGTGTCACAATGCGGGCGCAGAAGAGGCAGTAGCAACCAAATGGTTACGAGAATTGCAACGTCGAAATGTAGTGGTGCATTTTGACCAGTCGAAAAATGTGCAATTGGAAAATGCCGTGATTTTACGACCCTATGTAAGACTTTTTTGGAAATTTGAAAAGGACTTATTGCTGGATATTTTTTCAACTAATTCTGGATGTTTTTCAACTAATTTTGGATGTTTTTCAACTAATTTTGGATGTTTTGTATTTAGAGTTTGGAAAGTGTATTGACATTACAGAATGCATTAGACTCGGAGCTGTATAATATCAAGCATGACCGCCGTGTAAAAGAGAGTCAACTTGCTGCATTGAAAAGCTCCATGAAGAAATTGCAACAAGTGGCACATGACGTGCACGTGGCGGCGCACCGCATGCCAAATGTACAAAAGTGGATGGGGCTCAGTGGCCTCACTGGTTTATATAGTGTACTACTGTACTACGTCTGGAATGTCTACTCGTGGGACGTTATGGAGCCAATAACGTACTTTATTGGCTTTACGGCAGTATTGGGTAACTCGTTTTACTCTAGTATTACGAAAAAGGTGCGTGTTGCAAAAAAATATCGTAGTTTTTGTAAACTGGATATTTTTGATTTTTGTAATGGCAATAATGATGTTTTTTTGTGTTTGATACAGGATCCGACATACAGCAACATATGGCAGAAACGATATGCCAAACGGGTGGAAGTGCTGAGTAAAAAGCGAAAATACAACCCCACGGAGCTCGTAGAGCTGAAAGCCCGCATTGTCGACCTTGAGAATGACATTATGCTACTTTCGCAATGGGAAAAAGTCAATGTGGTTAAGCCGAACCAGCATTGACAACCGACTGATATTTTCTTCTTCAACAAGCAATGTTTCAGTGGGAAACGTATTTGGCAACTTTTAAGTGAAACGAACGAAGCTTCAACTTCAAGTCTTGATAAAAATGCATTTTAAATCTGATAGAAACCTTTTCAACCAATCGTCATCGTATCGCTTAAATATCCACGAATTATTTGTCAGCTCGTTGAAAATTAACTTTTTTATCTACAAAACCGAGAAAGAAAGATCCAGTAAATATGGCGGCAAACCAGAGCATCAAGGAGCTTCTGGCGGCCGAGACGAAAGCTTCCAAGATTATAAGCGAAGCACGTCAAGGTAGATTGTCAGCCATCATTTAATACTTCGTTGATAATATCCGTAAAAATAACGTAAAATAAAATATTTAGAACGTGGCGAACGACTAAAACAGGCAAAATTGGAGGCGGAGGCTGAAATCACAGCTTATCGTAAGAAAATGAAGCATACATTTCAGCTGAACAGCAACACCGACGTAAGAATTTTTTTTGAAAATATCACAGAAATCTGTGGGAGAGACAAATGAAAGGAAAATCTGGGATATATTTTTAATTGGGATTTTATCTGTTTTGTTGCAGCTTTTGGGAAACGACCAGAATGTATTGGAAGAGGAGACTCAGCGTGACATTAAAAAGATGGAGTATGTTTTTTTAATTTGTAGTCTGATTTTTGCTTTTTTTGGTACAAAAAAAACTGATTTTTTACTTTTTGAAGGACCGAGTTCGAGCAGAATAAGCAGGCAGTCGTTGCCATGATGGCACAACATGCTGTCCGTGTGCAAATCCGTGTACCTGAGGCACGTAAAGCGTAGAGTGAGAAGAGAAAGTTGCAATCAGAACCGCAAAAGAGCAAGACATTTGCTTTAAATAAAAATATTTTTTTTTTCTCGTAGGATCACAACAGACAAAAGATTTTTTTTATTGAAAAATGTATTTGTAAAATTGAAAATAAAGAGTTGTTAGTATAATTTATGCCTCGTGGTGGGGTATCTCCATGTGAATTATGGCATTATACATAACTGTAATTTAAACTTAAGAACAAGTAAAACACAATTAATTACCAAGTCTTTCCTTCCAACGAGAAAATATTGTAGTAAATATTCCTATAGCATCTACTACCAAGTAGGGTCAAAAAGCTCAAACTACCATCTATCTCTTCGATGACCAATATGCAGCACTTTCAAGTAGATGAATCAATAAATACTAGAAGAAAAACAAAACTATCCATAACTTTGTCGTTTCCAATGTTAATGTAATAAGTCTGTCCTTTCATGTTTTACCTTTTCAACTTTGTCAACATTCTCCGCTTCGGATGTTTTGCCAAAGGATGTTCATGATTGCGTGAAAGCACTTGAGCACGATGTTTGTTGAGATTACAAATAGCTGCACGACTAACGTGATATTCCTTGGCCAATGCTGATTGTTTTTCACCTTGAGCAATCCGTATTAAGATACGTCGACGGTCAATTTCACGTAGATATCGTGAATTCTTTGACTTTGAGTCACGTCGGACACGACAAACAGGTTCAGATGCCCAAATGACTGGACGTGATGTCGTGACTTGCTCTTCTGGTTTCCAGCTTTCCATCATTTCATTCGGAGTTTTCAAAACAAAGTTGTTGAGATTCCTATTCCATCCGTGAAACCTATTTTCCGTTGTAGTGAGAGCTGTTGTGAAAGGTGCTAACTTAAAAGCTGGAAGCGTGATAGTACTAGGTCGTCCTGTTAAACTTGGTGGTGTCCAGCATTCAAAAGTATTCTCGGTCTTACCTACTCGATGCTGCAATTCGTAGCTCGGGTTATTCATAGATACAAACGAATCACTCTTTTGAATTGTACCAAGGCGTTGGAGGAGAGTAGCTACACCAGGAAGTCGATCCACGTGACCTCGATTTGGAATACGAGTGTTTGAAAAACGACGACCGTGTTCGTAACGGACAAAAGGTTGACGAGAATGTAGCAACAGATGATACTCATTGGATGCTACGAGAGATTTGGAATCGTCGAGATTCGTAGATGGAAAATTGCCGGGGTAGTAACTTGGAACCATTTTCGTGTCAAGGGGAGATGGATAAAGATTGAATGAAGGATAATCGAGTTGATGATAAGCTGAAGCGGTTTTGACCTCGATGGTTCAGTTACGGACCGTCCCGAAAAGGTGTGACTCAGTTTCGACGAGTGATTAAGTGATGATTCACGTGTTGAACTTGTTTGAACTTGGTCCTTCAAAACTTGGTATTACTGCTTGGAATGATCCGCTTATGGCAAGAAAAGTAGTCGAAGAACGTACTCAAATTCGAGTCTTATGCTTGAGTTAGTTGCAGAGCTGTATCGCATATATGCGTCGACATAGAATTTACGATCGATATGATTCCAGTGGTCACAACTTTGTGCGTGGATGAGTGCGACATCCTGAAAGTCTCATGAACCTTTTTGCGATACTTGAAACGCTGTTGAAACTCCCAGTTCTCCGCCAAGATGACGTCGCAATGAAACCGTAATTTTCTTAGGTGTTGGTTGACCTCTTGGAAAGTTGTATCTTGTTCCTGTTCTTGAACGAGTTGTTGTAAGAACGAGTGCAAGCCATAGCAAGCACTTATTAACACACGGATGACTTTACCGTTGGTGAAATACCAGTAGACTTTCCAATTCACTACGAGAGATCCGTTGGTGGCTTTGCTAATTAAAGGTGCGAACGTACGCTGCTTTGCATGTCATGGATGAGATTATCGAGATCCCACGTGACAAATGGGATCGTACGATTTCACTTAACGGCTCAAGTCTGTTTACTCAAACAAACATAGTCCCATGACACATCAACGAAATCAATTGGACATGATTGTCCACTGCAATCTCGTTGTGACTTGTACCGTCAAGTCAGTTACGAGGTAGTATCTTAGGAACAAGTAGATACTTAGCACATCAAGTACTCGATAATAGTATGTAAGCTCTGCATTAACATAGTCATTTCTCGTTATTACTGTATCTTCAGTGTGTCTTTCAGCAAGCACTTCCTTGATGGCCGGAGTCATGGAATGTATTTGCCTACTCAAATGGACCGGACGAAGCTATTGCATGTTCCATCGACTATCGTGAATGGTTGCAATGTTGCAGAGTATCATCGATCAAAAGGCACCAAGTTTCGATTCAATTGGTGTTGATGCTGCATCTTCTGAATCGATCTCATCTGCTGACATTATCGTGTGTCTTGCTTCAGTCGTGCACTTTGCTAGTGGATCTTTGCACTTACGATGTTCGTGATGCTTGTTCAGGTTGCAAATCGCAGCTCGGGTGACGCAAAATTCTTTGAGCACGGACTGCCTCCTACCACGGTCTGGATGATTCATCCGTTCATTTCACTCATGAAGCTCAATCCTTTGATTGTTTTGACTGGTGTTAGAGTCATTGATCAAGATCGGTGGCTGGAGTATCGGAAGCTGGAGTTCACTTGATACCGTTGAAAATGAAGGTACGAATCGAGGTCCGTCATTTTTCTTGGCAGGATCGTACCCAATGCGATTGTTCTCAAAGTGGTCAAAGACTTCAGCCAGTTCTTGCATTTGAAAAGCTTGAGCACGCACTTTGGAGGCTGCAAGTCGTCGTCTTGGACTTGTGCGTCGTCTTTGAGGATGTTTTTGCTGCTTGTTTGGATGTTCTGCATGTTCCCAGGATATTACGATGGGATCACACAACCTTTCTCTAGCAACAGACACCCATGTCGAGGCGTAGGGTGACCAGCGGTTTTGTCGATTAGTCGGAGACATAGCAAAACGGTTCCTTTGCATCTCGGTCGGCTGAATCGGAAGTGCTGATAGCCCTGTAAATGGAGTTGACTGGACCTGTAAATCTGAAGCGTTTGTCGATGAGCTAGCTGAAGTCACAGCGGATTGAGTACGTTCGTGTGAAGGTAGCTGCACTTGGTGTCTTGTACTTGAGACCTGTTTGAGACTGGACACTTGTTGATGAAAATGCTGTCTCGCAGTGGTCGCATCAAAGGAGTTGTCATGCTGAAAGTGAAAGTTGTGCGATGGCAAAAGCGATGCCATGCTTGGCAACATTGTGCGTGAACAAACGCTCTCTTCTTCTTCAAGTGACCCACCTCTCGGTCGCTGGTTTCGAGAACGAAAACACTGATGGTCGTGAAGAATTGTATCGTAGAGATATCTCGAGTTGTCGCTGTTTTGGTCTCGAAAACTGAGTGATCCTCCAACGTTTTTCAAATGACATCGTTGCTTGGGCAGACGTAGTGGAGGAAGGCTATGCTTTCTCAAGAGACGGCTATTGTAAAGTCCTTGTTCGTGCGGGAACATTTCAAAATGGTGCCAAGCATTTAAAGGTCTCGATATATCATCGGACCGTCAACAAACAGTGCAGTTGATATTCTACTACTTCAGTATGAAGTCAGGACGTTGCCTTGATTCAACAAAAGCTCCAAGAAGCATGGCAAGTCATTGCACTGGCCCTACCAAGTAAATTAATTTTTTTACTTTGCATGTCTGTAGTTGTGCCACTGCAAGGTTTTGCTGGAAAATGAAATCTGTATTGACGCTACGATAGCAAAGAAGCAAGTGACGAGCTTGCCACCAAGGAAGATTCAAGACTACATGAACACATGCCGACTATTCTGACGATATCGCAATTGGATTGTTGAATCAAGCATCAAGGTCACTACTGGTGCTTTGAGATCTAAAACCTCAGAGCAATATGCTCATCTCATGTCAGATGAAGCAGGAATTTGCAGCTCTTGTTGGTTGAACGACGCAACGATTGACACGTAAAGGATCTCGAACCATGCAACAGTTGATAATGAATGACAATTGGACGCAACCACGTGCATATAGGACGACGATTCGTCTACAACGATCTTTTATACTTATTTATATGAACAAAGTGACCACTTGGTCGACGTTCTATCGAATATGGAACGTCTTAAGCATACGATTACCATGTAGAAGATCCATCATTTGAAATGGATCGATCCATTACTCACGTCAATAGAAAAGTACGTTGTTCTGGATAAGTGCGAGCACATTATGACTACATTTTTGTATAGTTATAAGGATATAGAGGTTTTTTATAAAAAGGATAAAAAGATGACGTGCTGTTGGATGCAAGTTGAGACTCAAGTAGTTTTGATTTCGATAGAAAGATCATTTAGTCGTTCCTAACTATGACAGTAGGTCAATAACAATTGCACGGTGACACGCTACGCGATATACAAAGTAGCCCAGTCACACGTTCAGATAGTTGATAATGGAAAATGACTTAAGAAATGGCTACATGTCTGAATTTTGAAAAGAGTCAGATGCTTTTTTTTGGCTTAACTTCAACTACTGCGTACTTAGTGATGGATGATTAACTGATACAGACAGACATGTATGTGATATTGACACAAAAAATAGGTCACTGGACTCAAAATGTCTGAAGATACTTTCAATAGAAATGGCCACTTGAAATGATTTATCTAACGGATTTTGCAAAAGCAACGTGTTGTCGCTGCTTTGTGCAGTAGATTGTTAGTAAACAATACCTATATGCCTCGTCTTTACTTAAACTAGTCTTTCCCGCCGTCGACAAAAAAAAGGTAACACTGATTTTGGGTCTAAATATGTTGCTCCGTTTTCACAAAAAAAGGTGGATTCTTCAGCCAGTTAGTAGTTTCAGCTGGCATCCATCATCGCGTGATTTCTATCACCAGCTGCATAAAATCCAGTCAGTTTGCCGATAATCTCTAAACTTTTCAACTCCTTTTTTTTTCTTCCAGTCAAAACAAAAGAACTTCTATTTGACCATCACTCTTAGTCTACCTTTTGGCAATTCGACTTGACACAAAGTCACTTTTCTGTTGGCATTGCAAGGAACGAGGCACGAAACACGACGCGACCTGGACGTCCCTGACATTACGACTCGGTATACACACGGCCACCAGACAATTCCTTTCTTCTTCTTTCCCATAGACGAACCCCAGTTTATCACGATGATAATGAAAAATACCCTTCTCAGTACGTACTTGCGTTCGTGGTGTACACTCGCTTTAGAGAATTTCTCTCCCACCCCCCATCTCCCCCTAAAAAAGCAACTAACGTAAAAAACGCGTTATTTACAGCGGTGTTTCTTTCCCTCGTTTCGGTTGGTACCGCGTTCTATGCAATGGTTTATCCGGCGTGGTTCCAGCAACATTATCGTCGTAATGGGCATAATGTATACCAAGGGTATGGACTTTTTGCCTTTTACTCGACCAGCTCCCTCGAGTCGCCGTTCTACGCATCGGCGACGGTCCTACAGTACAAGGATTTCTGTGTAACGAACTTTCCTACACCCAATTACATGTTGGGAGACGGTGTGGATTTCCACGAGATTTTATGCGGGAAAAGAATGATGTCCGTACAGGCTACGACCGCCACTGGTGCCGCGGTGTCGGTTTTGGGACTCTTGACTGCCATTGGAGCAGTTTTTAACCCCTCGGTCGGGTATATGGAACGCATGGTGTCGTTTTGTACACTTGTTGGATGTAAGTAACGTTTGATTCGATATTTTTATTTTTTTTGTGGACCGTGAAGTTGCAACTGTCTGTTTTTTATCCCACTGGCAATGTAAACTGACATTTCTGTGATTGGATATTTTTTTTTGTTATGGTTGGATTTTATCCATTAGCTCTTTTATTGGCTGTCTCGTTGATTATATGGGGAGCTCTTTTGCAACAGACGTTGTATAGTATTGATACTATTAATTCAGCGTATACCAGTTGCAAAGCGGATAATATCCAATGGCATTGTTGGTTTTACGGATATAGTTTCTGGGTCTGTCTTGCATCGGTGATTATCCTGTCGATTACTGGATATTTGAGTTCGGCGGGTCGAGCGGAAAAAATCCGATATTTTCGAAAAGAATATGAACGGGATTTGGCTATGGCCATGCAACAAAGTGCCGATACGGATGGAAATCGTACAAATCATACCCAATTTGTACGAAGTGAATCAAGTGGTGGGTTTGGGTTACAGCCGTCTCAACGGGCCTACGGACAAGCTCCGACTCCGGCTCCGTATAATGCCACGAGTGGACAATTGTATACAACGCCACAACATTTGCAGCCCAGTGGAAGTTTATATGGTCGTCAAACGTCTGGTCCGAAACCCATGGGATATCAACGACAAGTGAGTAATGTGTCACTCGCTGCACCATCAACTAGTGGAATTCATCAAGCTACAAGCAATGACAGTGATGCAGTGTATCCAAGTTATAGTGAACAACGCAGGAACCATTCATTGCTAGGTCCTCAAAATCGTGGAGGGGTCGTGTAAAGATTATCGACTACATTTTGTAGGCTATCGAGTGGATTTTTTTTTCGAAGAATTATACCAAAAAGATGACATGAATTGGAAGCGAGGGTTGGTTTGGTTTATCCATGAGTTGTTTGATCATGGCTGGATAATTGTTTGTGTTTCTATTGTGTTTCTATGATTGATTCAAGAGTGGTTGATGATTTGAGATAAAAACAATGAGAAGCTTTTAGTGGGTGGCATTGATTTTGTATTGGATTTTCGGATTGAGATTATCGAGATGGAGTTATTTCTTACGAAGTGGTTGAAAGCATTGAAGGGTTTTTTCTTATAGGTATTTCGTAGAAAAAAATTGGTACGACAAGAAGAAAAAACATGACAGATTATTGTTTGGTAGCTGAAACTATCATATCTTCTGGATCATTTTGGTATGTGAAGCTACAAACCAAGTAAATTCTCTAGTGATCTTTCATAATGGTTGATACACGCTTGTGTCTTTCCAATTCTTGTGAAAAAATGTCACTTGACAATGACTTTCTTGTCAGTTACGGTCAACTGTAAAAGTTGAAGCTCAATGTGGACTCGTGACATGTTAACAGCTTTTTTTTTGCTGCAGTCATCCATGAACAACAATCTTGTTGAGCACACTGCATCTTGGTACCATATCACACCCATGTAGATGCCAAATTCCTTTGAAACAGCACGCAAAGACCTAGAGTCAAGTGCAGGGTGAAGTATTTGACAAAACGTTTGCTGGTTGTTATATCAAACAGTCCACTTTGTAGCTGCGGCCAATTCCGTTGAAGCTCAAACTTGTACGTATTATTCATATGGAGAGATACATGCGTGTCTGTTTCTAAAGCTTCCGTCCACCCATATTTGCCTTGCTCTCTGTTTGATCCAGGCTATCTAGAGACCAAACATTCGAGCAATCCACGACTTTTTACCACTGTTAGGCTCATTACTGCCATTCTCATCGATATAGACCACAGTTTCAGTGTCAGACTTGGCATCCTTTGCGGTCTCAATTGGCACTGTCGACTCTTGTTCATGTCGGTTTGATCGGTCAGTCCTCCACTTTTGTCGAATGCCTGCGTTCTCCTGCTTTTGGAAGCGAGTACTGTCAAATTGGCCACGGGAAGGAGATCGTCGGCCATTAGCTGCACCACTGGACCATCGCGTTTTTGTCTCCTCGCGGTTGTACGTGGTGTTGATAAGCCCTTGTTCGACAAGCTTTAGTACTTGTTTCTTTAACTCCAAAGCCAAATCATTCTCAGCAAAGGTGTCTTTGAAGCGGAACGACAACCACAGGTATAAGTCAATGATCTTGGCCTTGATCTCAATGTCACCCAGTGCCTCAGCTGTGCGAGGGGGATATTTCGGTAGATAAATGTCGAGCTTGACACTTTGTCCCAACGAGTGAGCGCGTGCATATTCGAGGAACACCTTACGAGCCAAAGGATTTCGTAGGCTCACAGGTGACATACAGAATGTGAACCGGTCGGACAGCAAGAGGTCCGTGTCACGCAGCAGCGTCGCAGCATCTTTCATGTCTTGATGGTTGCACATAAAGTAGTCACCATCTAAACGTGCCAACATCACGTACTTGTCCACGAGGTCAGAAAGGTCCGTGATTCCTGGCAATTGCTTGGCAAACTCTTCCATCTGCTCGGAAGATGGAAACAAACCGGCAGATTTAAGCGGAGTCGGCACTTCATCGTACGACTCTTTCAAATACTCCAAGTCTTCTTCAAGCAGACACGTCGCTTCGCCAGAAGCAAAGTCGCTACCATACCGACCCGCACGCCCAGCAATCTGTTTGGCCAGAGAAGGTGGAATGTCAATCATGCCGCCACTGTTACCCGAGTATTTCTTTACTGTCGCAAACACAATGCGCTTGATATTCAAGTTCAGTCCCATCCCAATGGCATCGGAAGCAACCATAATATTGTACGAATTGCCGCGTTCATTGAACAGCCGAGCCTGCTGTGATCGAGTCTCCGGTGGAAGCTGGCCGTAAATGATGCAGCACTTTTCTCCCGTTTTGATTTCTATGTCACGCTTAATCTGAAAGATATCACGACGTGAAAATGCCACCACACAATCGCCAGGGCGAATTTTGTTGTAATTGTTCAAGTGAGTGCTTGAAATCACGAGCGGCGAGCGGCGTTCGTACGAACGCAACTCAAAGTCATCTCCTGCAATCTCGGCAAATTTCTTGACAAGGTCCACCGCTTCACCTGATCCACAAACATGAATCTCCTTTGCTTGTAGTCCAAAAAGTGCACGGGTCCATGCCCACCCCCGCTGCGGATCTCCAATCAACTGAATCTCATCAATCACAGCAACATCCCATGGCCGATTAATGTTTGCCATCTCGACCGTACACGATACATGTGTCGAGTAAGGTACCATTTTCTTTTCTTGTCCCGTCACCAATGACGTATAAATTCCATCACTGTTCATCCGCTCGAAAATTTCAAGCGCCAAGAGACGCAGGGGGCCACAATAAATACCTCCATCTTCTTCTGCTAGTTTTAATCGCTCTAAAGCTTGATGAGTCTTGCCACTATTGGTTGGTCCTTCATGGTAAATAATTTTTCGCTTCATTGCTGTAGCAAATGGGTACATTTCATGAGGTAATCTCAAGTCTGTAATTTGTTGAAGTGACAAGGCATTGGCATCATCCGAGTCCGTGGTCAAGTACTTATTGGCCTTGGCATAGTCCAGAAAGTACGGATAAAAGATAAACGAGCTATGTCGTTTGATATGGTCCAAGTCCTACAGTATAGACAGAAAAAAACAATCAATACATGACCGACCCTCGACTTAAAACTTGAATAACTTTTTCTCTAGAGCTCCAATTGGTTTGCAAAGAGTCTCCATGTCTTACCCGTCCAAAGGCCAAGAGTTCTGTCTGGTTTTCAAAGTATTTCAACGGTTCCGAAAGGAACGATTTACAAAAACTAGAAGCTGCAAGTGTCCATTCGGCAGGGTTCATTCCTGCTTCCATAACAAGTTTTTTGACCTCGTAATTTCGTGGAAAGTTCCGTATACGACGATGTACACGCTTGGCTAAATCCGATGGCCATTTCACGCGTGGAGACTCGACAATTCCCTTTGAAAAGTTACGCGTTTGGGTACAAGTGGTTACATTGGCATAACTTTCGAAGTAGAACGAGGTAGACGCTCGTAGAGGATCCAAAATGACGGCAAGAGGCTGTAGAGGAAGATCCTGAGGTCGAAAGAGACGGACAGAGGTTCTACGAGCGTAGGGCAGTCGACGAACGACTCGCATCATGTTGGAACGTAGCAACCAGTCGAATTACTGGAAAGGGGTTAGGGAGTCTGAGGTGGTCCACATACTGATTTTGGTGTCTTCTTCTGTACATTTTGTATCGATAATGCCGGTATTACATCTTTCCAATACCGGTACTTCTGATCCATCAAATACCTACAAAAAACCGGTACAACTCCCTCCTCAGACGCTCATCTGATTCCGCTTCTTCATGGCCTTTGACCCTCGATGTGTAGCGTTTGAAGGCCGTCTTCATGCCGATTACTGTACTGCTGAGTACATCGGACGTGCTAGTCATGACTCTGATGCCGCATGTTTCCGATCTCGTGACGCAGTGACCGCCAGCACGTGTTCTCAGATCCTCCGGCTTTTTTATTTCGAGACTCAGATTTTGGCGACAACCCCGACCCCTATACGCACTAAACCTGTCAAAACGAATACTTTACATGTACCGGTATTTCACCGACGGGATACCGTACCGGTTCAAGATACTGCAGTACCGATGGAATCAGATGGAAGACAGATCCAAGCGATGGATACAGAAGATGGACCGATGGCTGGGAATACCGATGAGTCGGTAGAAATACCGGTACCTATTCCGGCTTTACCAAGTTCCAGAACCATGCAACAACTGGGGTCCAGGAATGCTCGACGTGGCAATGAGAAAACCAAATTCAAGCATAAAATATCGATTGGATTTCTTCTGGACAATACCGAGGTGAAATGTGGAGCGTCGGGGGTAATTTCTTCATCTTTTACGAGTTTTTCCAGTTCCAAGGGACATTTAGAAGCAAAAATGTCACGAAGAGCAGTGAAACAATTGATGCAGAGGGTTTTACCCAATGTTACATCTCAAGATGAGTTGGAAGACGAGAAGGAGCAGGAGACAAGAGGAAACAAGAAAATCGAGACGACAAATCCTGCAATTTTACATGAAGATTTAGGAACAAAAGGCCATTCCGTGGCTTATGTGGGCAAAACAGGTCGTGTCATTTTTAATGGACGAGAATTTTTACAGTGTGAACGATACGGAACGGGAGATGTCGTTGGGTGTGGAGTTTTGTTAGATACCAATACGTTTTTCTTTACGTTGAATGGAGAATTGATGGGATTACTGGCAGCTCGAGATGTAAAGGACTTGGATAATTTTGGAGAAGTTGATGACGAGGAAGAGGAAGAAAGTGAGGAAGATGATTCAAAGAGTAGTGAAGAAGACGAGAAGGACAGTGTCGGAGCAGAAAATAGGAAGCGAACTCAACTGGACAGGACAGATGATGATATGGAAGATGTGAATGGTCACGATGAAGACGAGAAGGTGCTGTTTCCGTCAGTGAGTCTACACGGTGTTGGTGAGTGTGTACGTGCTGTGTTTGAACCTGATGAGTTCCAATTCGATCTATCAAGTTTCGAACAGCAGATTCAAAAGGAGCGTCAACGGGCATTGCTGGCTGAGTGTGAAAAGCGTAACGAAAATGACTCTCCGAGTGATGTTGAACAGTCATTGTGCAAGGATGAAGCTGTGATGAACGAGCTTGTACAGAATTTCTTTTTGCATAATGGTTACGAGAGTGCGTACAAGGCATTCGAATCGGCTCTTGTATTTCCAAAACGGCAACGCTTGACATCAGATGGTATGGAAATGGACTGTAGTGGTGAAATCGAAGCAAGTGCTGAAATTTACGACGTAAGCAGCGGTGACGATACGGAAAACAAAGACAAAACTGAGGATATGGATATTGGGGATGCGCAGCCAAGCTTGGGAGCTACTTTAAAAAAGCAGATGCTTGGGTCTCTCCGCCTACGTCATGAAGTGCGCGAGCACATCCGTTGCTTTCGGGCCGCACAAGCGCTAGCATTACTCGAGCAACATGTACCTGCACTCATGACGATTGGGACGGGTCATCGTTCCCGGCACATTAAAAAACTGATTTTGAACTGTCGAATCCTGTGTGTTGTCGACGTTTTGACTCACGACGAAGAAGCGAAGGCACCAATTCTTTCGCCATCGTTGGCGAACGGCGTACCACACTCACGAAGATCGTCGAATGTTGAGAAAGTGGGGTGCAACGGATGGAATCCAGAGTCGGCGATTGAATTTGCACAACAGATATTTGGGTCTTGTGTCGAAATCACGACTTACGGGAAGCGTAAAAGACAAGGACTTACTAATAGTACAACGCAGAAGAAACGTTCAGACAGAAACGAAATTGCGCTTGCCATGAGTTTGCTTCTCTATGACCAGCGCGACAGCATACCCAAAGCAAGTCAGGCACGTAAATTCTTGACGACCGAGTTTCGCGAGTCAGTCGCCGACCAGCTCAACAGCTTATTACTGATGGGTGATAAATATGCAAAGACAAAACCGCGAGTATCAGCGCTAGAAACCTTCATGATAGATCTGGAACACTTACAGAAGGAGTGTTTGTATCATGGCTGTCGTGCGTATCCGGAAAGCATTGAGGCCACTGGCAAATTTAACACCACGTCGCATCGATGGAGAGCCTCGGTATCTTCCAGCTCGGACGATTCTTCTTCATCTCAAAGTGAACAGGATGATCATTTCGAGGACGAAGATAATGACGACGAGTGAAAGGGTTCGTATTGGTTGCTAATGGACTGCCTTTCGTTTGTTTGGTATAAGGTAGGTGCTTCATGTGAATCAAGATGAATGCGTTCCCTGATTCGCCTATACCACACATCGCGGTGGTAAGATTGGTCTGCGTCCTAACGCCTACCCTTGTCCATTTTTGGTCAAGTTGGACGAATACAAAACTTTTGATGACCATGACGGAGGAGATACAGAGTATGATTGAAGGCACAATCCAGTGTGATACTGATAAGCTAGCGAAACGTGCCGGCAAAAGTGGCTTAATCATTGATACGCCTTTAAGCCGAAACTTGCTGCTTTGATATGCAGCAGTTGCATTACTTCAATTTTGCTGAGGTGAGCAAGTCGTGACGCAATCGTGCCTAGTGACGATGACTTGCTGGAGAGAAACGGAATCTAGTCACGTCGTTGCAGTTGTTCCTGTGGCAACATGTCGTTAAGTGCTTACTTTGTACATTAAGGAGGCATTGAAATTAACTTTGACGAATTGTGAGGAGAAGCGCGTTGGCAGTGCCAATCTGACGATAAAGACAAGCTACAGCAAAACCTGGGAGTCATCAACATATTGATATCGATCTGGCTTGCTACAATCCATGAGATGGCTCTGATGACTACATGCATGTTTGACAAACATGCGGAATAATCTGAAGATATCTTCTGTTCAGACGAACATCGGGATGTTTGGTTCAGACACTCGACGAAAAGTTGCTGTCGCTGAACGAAATCGGGATGAGTTTTTGTGTAAAGGGCATCGAAAAAGTGGCACTTCGCATGGCAATTTTGTTTGTCGGTCTTTGCTTGGTTGTGCAGGTGAAGCGAAACCTCATCGTCAATCTTGAGGAATATTTTTGCTGAAAAGGATGACCGTTCATCAACGTGTGCCACCACGTGCACCAGTAGGTTTGTGGACAGATTGGAGCAATGCCTGGTACTTCTTTGGTTCCAGCGAGATCTGGGTGGTGAAGCTATTCTGTGCACTGTTCTACGATTGGAGTCAGGCATGTTCAGTCGAGTTGGACGGAACAAAAATCTTGACGAATTAAGAAAGAGGTCCTAGCGACAAACTGAAGTAACAGCGTCTAATGTTTTCCAAATCATTAGACGCTGTAAGAAGTGCGGAACTGGGTCGATGTACGACAATACAAACGTAATATCAGGAAATCTTGCGAGGTATCGATTACATCCATCTCGTGGTTTCTCGTGGCTGACAATGGCAAATTACTGAGCAGGTACTTTACAAAGCGCAAACGCAAGTCATACATTTTTGTCTGGGTACCCACCGTTGATAGCTGACGAGTTCTTTAAGAACCTGTGGATTATCGATGCAGTTGCTTCAATGACAGAGGATGACAATGCTTGATTAGCAGGGTGTATCTGGCCAGATGCCACCCAAATTGAAGAACGGAAGAGGCTCATGTTGTATCTGCGCAAACGGTTTGCATTGAAACCTAAAAGTCCAATGACAAGCCACGACATCAGCTCGAGGCCACAGCGAGCAACGAATACCTTATAAAGGAGCGGAAGATTAATTCACGTGGCAGTGCTGACAAGGTCATTGTCGACCGATTGGTGCAACGAGATCAAGTACATGTATGCTGTGTATCACAAATGTAGCCATGTTCCATGAGACGGTGCACAAGCTCATCTCCCTTGGTAAAATTAAGTCGCTTGTGTATACCACACAACATGGATCTCATTGGCTTAAATCGTTATTTAACAGCATTTCATCCAATCAAAACACACGGTACGTAGTAGCCAGCCATTTTGAGCAGTTACTTAAAGGTGCATGTATCATAGTATCAATTAATTACCATGGGTCTACGTAAAGGAGGAAGCAAGAAGAAAGGCAATTGCAAACGGAAGGCTAATGTATGGGATGATGCAGAGCTCAAGACGAAACGGGGCGTGATTCCGAGTGAAAATGATGCGAAACGGAGCAAATCAAGTTTGAAAGGGTCGATGATGGGTCAGTGGAAGACTCGGAAGATTATGGAGCGTACAAAAGAGCGCAAATTCTTTGTTTCCGTGGAGGAAAAGAAGCGATGGCAACGTGAACAATACGAAGAGATGTGGGAGCATACGGCTAATGCCATTTATACGAAAAACGAAGCAGTAGAAGCCGAGATAGAAGCGAAAGAAGACAAAGAAGAAGAGGAGGAGGAGGACAGTGAGAGTGATGTGGAGGACGTTCTTTATGGAAAGAAAAGGAACGAGCTATTTGATGAGTTTGTAAAGACTTTCAAGATGGAAGAAGATGGTAAAGAGGAGGAGGAAGAGGAGAGAGAAGAAGAAATGTTGACAGAAGAACAAGATGAAGAGAAGGAGGAGAGAGAGAATGACAATCAGGTTGCTGCTATGGAAAAAGATGATGAAGAAGAGATGGAGGAGGAGCAGCAGGATGAAGAAGAACAGGAAGATCCTTACCGACGACGATATCTCTTAAGTTCATTCTCAGAGCAAGATGCAAAAAAGTTTACTGCAACGATGAGGAAATTTACAAAGGTTGACATACAAACGCTAGAGGAGAAGTTGTATGATGTCACGTACCGAAAAGGAATTGATGAGGATATCAAGGGTATTGCTGGTGTTGTCACGACTCCGGAGCTTGCTATGAAGAAGAAACCGTATGTCCGTTCGAGGCTGATGGCGACGTGGAAACGGCATGGACTGGATCCGGAGACGGTATTTCCCAAGGGGTCTGTGGAGCGCGCGCTCTGGCAGCAATTGTCGGCATACATGGACGTGTTTTTTGCTGGTCAGACATTTGAGAATACGGCGACACTGCGGCGTCTAAGTGCCATGCATGTGCTGAACCATGTTTTAAAAGCTCGTGACACCGTCACAAGGAACAATGAACGTATAAAAAAGCGTGACGCTGAAAAAGCTGACGATGAGGAGGAGAAAGAGTACCGTGACCAAGGGTTCTGCCGTGCAAGTGTGTTGGTTTTACTGCCTCTTCGTAGTGCTGCTGTTGCCTTTGTGAACCAACTGCTGAAACTTTTACCAGCAAATGTGGATACCTTTCACAACAAGGACCGATTTTTTCGTGAATTTGGAAGCGCCGTGGCCGAAAAGGACATGAAGGATGATGATTCAACCACGGACGATGGCAAAAAAGAGTGGCAGCGCGTATTTGACGAGGGCAACAATGACGATTGCTTCCAATTGGGTTTGTCGTTTTCCCGCAAAGCCGTGCGTTTCTACAGCGAATATCACCACGCTGATGTCATCATTGCGTCTCCTCTTGGACTTCGTCAACAACTTGGCGATGAAGTTGCAGTGCTTGATGACACCGAGTCCACTGTTGACGTCCAACTATCAAGTGATTTTTTATCGTCAATTGAAGTCTGTCTCGTTGACTCTGCAAGTCTTATGGCAATGCAAAATCTCGACCATTTGCGTACAGTCTTGCGAGCGACCAATGTGCAGCCGAAAGAAGCTCCGCATGCCGATTTTGCACGTGTTCGTGAGTGGAATTTAACTTTTTTGGCCTCTTTTTTTCGACAAACTGTCGTTTTTGCTCATAACGTCGAGCCTCTTGTCCATGCCCTGGTGACAAAATCCTGTCGCAATATCTCTGGATTTGTCAAGTATGTCCGTATCTATGATATTGCCAATGGTACAGCCTCAATTTCTCAGGTCGTACCCCACGTCAAACAACTTTTTCAGCGGGTGGATTTAAATACCACTGACTCGTGTCATTTCAGTGCCAAAGACGAAGCGGAATTGCGGTTTGAATACTTTAAAAAGCACGTGTTTGAACCGTTACTGGATCAGCCACGGAAACACGTGGTCATTGTTATTCCGTCGTATTTTGATTACGTCCGAGTCCGGAATTTATTTCACGAGCCACTGAACCAGAAACTTGTGACAAGTGTTCAATGTTGTGAATATACACCTTCTCGGCAAGTCTCTCGTGCTCGTACCATGTTTTTTCATGGACAGTGTCATGTCTTGTTGTATACGGAACGTTTTCATTTTTATCATCAGTATCAGATTCGAGGCATTGAGCAGCTCATTTGGTATGGGGTGCCAATGATGCATGACTTTTATCCGGAAATGCTGAATTTCATGGAAAACTCATGTCATGAACCCGAAAATTTCGATCAAAGCGCGGAAAAATATTCGTCGATTGTGTTATTTACACGGATGGATTTCTTACGAATGGAACGGATTGTGGGGAAGAAACGAGCCAGACGAATGTGTCAGGAAAGTACAAAAGCAAAAGCGACCTTTCTTTTTTGCTAGGACGGGGTCTTTTTAGTGTCTTGGACGGGGGATTTGACGACGTTTTTACCCTTTTTTTAAGGTTAGATACATGAAAATACGTATTTTATAGGTATAGCACCTCTTTTTTTTTCTTCCTATCATAAAGCATGATTTGCCACTATTTGCCACTTTATTTTTCTCTAAAAAAACAGAAACATGGTAAGGTACATGTTTTTCGTTCGTTATTTTTTATCTTTTTTGCCCTCTCATATGTTATATATCTATTTTTTCCTCCCTTTAAGAATCTTTTTAACTTTAGTGTATCATCTGCGGACCTCCATTTCTCCTTGGAAGGTGCCGAACACCGTCCAATACTCTCCATTCCTCATTATGACAATAGTAAAAATGGCAAATCCAACGAATTGCCACTTTTTCGTGCCAACGAAGATATTTGTGGAAGGTTGACGGTAAAAATTCATTCTGGCAGGAAATTAGAACATACAGGATTAAAAGTCGAACTTATTGGAATTCTTACAGTGCCGATGGATCGTCATGCCGGATACGAGTTTTTGCATTCGGTTCGAGAGTTGCAATCCAGTGGACAAATTATCCAAGGGGAAGAAACGTTTGCGTTTGATTTTATCCAAGTGGATAAAATCTATGAAAGTTATTATGGTCATAGTGTCAAATTGCGATATATTCTTCGAGCGACCTTATCAAGAGGACATTATGCAAGTCATTTAATTCATGAGCAAGAGTTAGGGGTACAACATGTAACTCTACCATCTCCCGTGGATAAATCGATTCAAATGGAAGTCGGTATTGACGATTGTCTCCATATTGAATTCGAGTATGGCAAATCCAACTATCACTTGGAAGATGTAGTAATTGGCAAGATTTTTTTCTCGTGGTACGGATCAAAATCAAACACATGGAGCTTGGAATTTTACGTCGTGAAAGTGTCGGATCTGGCACGCAACGACATTGTGAGAGTGATACGATCACTAAATTTGAAATCATGGATGGTGCACCGGTTAAAAATGAGAGTGTTCCAGTACGTCTGTATCTCGCTCCATATGCACTCACACCCACGTACCACAATGTTCAGAACCGGTTCTCAGTCAAGTACTTTTTGAATCTCGTCTTGGTAGATGAAGGAGATCGCCGATATTTCAAGCAACAAGAAATTACACTTTGGCGAAAGACTTTCGGATGAAAGAAGCAACAGAAGCATCACGGTTTCCAGATCCAAAAATAGGCTCTAGCAGAGAAGACAAGGACAATAAAATAAGTGAAAACGAGTCGAGGGGATCAAGAGACATCGAATGCATAATACAAAAATATTACGTCCGATGCGTCGATGAGAAAAAAAAGATGAGACTTATCTCGGTTTGCATCTCGTCCATTGATAAAATCATGGAAAGCTCTCGACAATATCAAATCGCTGGCAATTTTGTCCTTTTCAAAGTCTTGTCAGCAACCACGAGATACCACTTTAACGCGAACGCGAACGATCACGGCCACGTCTACTGTTTCGGCTGCTACCGTGACGACGTGGAGATCGCGAACGAGAACGAGACGGTGAGCGTCTACGACTTAAACGACGAGGAGGAGATTTCGATCTCGAGCGTGACGACGACAAGGAACGTCCATCCGTTTCCATTTCTCGAATTCGAACACGCCCTCCATCCAAATCGGTACCATCCAATTTTCGAATAGCTCGACGTAATTCCTCTTGAGTTGCAAAAGATGCGGTTCCATTGCCACGACGATCAACATCACTATGTACAACATCTCCTCCTTCACGTAGAAAATCCTTGAGATCTTGCCAGCTCATGGTATCCGGTAAACTTGTAATCTTGACACGATATTGAGTTCCACGAGGACTATAAAGTAGATATAGATATAGATATATCGTTAGGGACACTGTTTTAAGTGAAAAATATCTGGATATTATTCACTTATACCGTGCATCGTCCAGACCTCGAGACATTTCCACACGAAGACGATTACCACTAAATGTAGCACTGAAAATGTAAACAAAAGGTTAGTTTCGGTAGAGTTTTGTACTCAAATGATGACGCAATCATTCGTATATACATACTTGTTCATCGATCGTACAGCATTACTAGCATCTTGTTCGTTTTCATAGGTCTAATCAGATAATATCCAGATAATTCCAGAGTGATGGTAAATGAGATAAAATGACTCTAAACTGTCCAAATAAAGCACTAAAATCCTACAATGAAAGCGAATGGCGGAGGACGCGTCGGAATCTTGATCCGAACACTGGCAATGCGGCCGAAACGGTCAAACTTGTCCACCAGGTCACGCTCGTGCACGTCCTCGGGTAAATTACCTACAAACACTCGCGCCATTGTTGCTAAACCGTATTTTGGCATGTTGGCGCCAAATCCCTCGTTATAGTGACGATTAAAAACTTGTACAAAATAAATCGGGGTTTTTTATTTGCGTTTTTATATTTTTTATCGGAAAAAAACATCCAAAATAAATTAAAAATTATCCAGTGACAATGACGGAAGAAGGTCCGCGTATCGACGAGCACTTTGACCGTATTCGTGCAAACCTAATTCGATGTGAAGAATGCAATGAAAACTTTTTCTTTGATTTCTTGCGTCATCCACGGTGTGTAGTTGTTTACATATCGTAGTAGAAAAAAAATAATAATTGACGATGGATAATATTTATTATCTTGGATAATATCGACTAATTCTGTATTTTTGCAGATATTTTGTGACGCATTTTAAAACTTGTCATCTTAAAAAGGTCTTGTACCGTTTTAATGGGTGTTCAGAGGAAGAAAACCAGCGTGTACGTTTTGGACCTCGACGTAAAAAAGATGCTATTTCGTGGTTTAGTCAGCTCAAATCCACCGAGAAAAGAATGGTACGACAAACAATATATCCAGATTTTTTTCTTGGATTTTTTTACTAATTATTCTTTTTTTATCTGGATTTTTTGTAGATTTCAATGCAAGATAATAAATGGGGCGAGATTGTTGAACGAGAATGTTGGTCCTGTCGATTGTATGGACAGGACATACTTTTTTTATTTTTATTGGTGTTTATGCTAGGATGTCTAATTGTGATATTGTGTTATTGTGATATTGTTTTATTGTGATATTGTTGCCATGAACAGATGCAAACATGGTCGGAAAACAAGTGAGATGCCACACGCCTTTGAACCGAATGAATTGGGTCGTCGTCAAGCTTTATTACATCTGCGACAATTCCATGAAACTGCATACAATGGTTTTCTCTGTATGCTGCCAGCTGTGGGGAGATCTTCGAGTTGTCAATTCCAAGAATTTCCTACAAATATCAGGCCAACAATAGCCATGGAACAAGTATCAGGGTCTGGAGTGGACGTCATTTCCAACATGATCATGCAAAATGAAAATCACGGGACGTTGTCGTTCGTTTCGACGTTAAAACAATCAGCTGATGCTGATCGGAGTCGACTTCGTCGGATGCGAGCTACTCCAGAAGCTAAAAAAGCTGAAGCGGAGCGTAGTAGACGTCGACGAGAGCAATTAACGCCCGCTCAACGGCAAGCAGATGTGGAAAGACGGGTCCGAAAACGACATCGAATTGAAGAACAGGAACGAAGTCGAGCACGTCGAGCTAACCTGAACCCAGATGCTCGAGAACGAGAAGTCATACGGTCCCGTGAACGTCGCCAGAATGCAACCGAGCAACAACGCAATCGAGAGGCCCAAAGAAGCCGCATGCGACGTCAAAATGCAACAGAAGAGCAGCGTCTGCGTGAACGGGAACGCTGTCGCCGTCGATACGAGACGCAAAAGCTGCAAAAACAGGTTGCTGAAAAAGCTGGTGCGTTGTCTGATGTGGAGACACAGCAAAGCACAATCGGTACTTTGGCTGCAGACACCACTGCGACCTTACCTGACAGAAGTGACCAGAAGACGCCACTGCCAAGGACTCGAGTGATGCCAAGGGATCTTGAACGACGGAACCGACTTTTATTGCAGCAACAAGCTGGACTTGGATTGCAGATTCAATCGCTCTACGCCTCATTATCGCGTTCTCCGTCATCCCAGATTGATCTTTGAGTGTCAAAGATACAAGTGAAAAAATGGTTATCTACTACATTATGAATGCACATCTCATCAACGTCATTGTGAGCTATCAAAACGAGCTCATTCTCACCAGAGGCAGCGTACAGACGCATTCGTCAATGACAACTTGTGACAATTGTTCAGTCGGTCCAACATCGTCGATGCAAGTATTCGGACGACCTCAATATGGACATATTCCGTATACGGAACTACCAGCTCGTAAGCATCACTATCCACTTGAGCGCAGGGAAAACAGCATGTACCTTTTTCAGAGCTTCCGAGGTCGCATTACGAGCGACATATGAAATCATTAGCCTCCATCGAGCTCGATTCCAAGATTTTGACGTCGAATATTTCGCTTACGGAGATGTAGGATCAAGTGCGCTATCATCAAGTTCGAAAGATGAAGAAGTTGATGTGTTTAAACGTTGCCATGGGTCACGTAATTCTTGACAAGGAGGTGGTTGTGCTGGACACGCGGCTGGCCTCGAACTTCTTGGCTTCACTGCTAAAGAAGAGCTAAGGAGAACATCAAGGTGCTGTACCATGGGACCCCTCCATGCAGACCTTCTAGTTTGCTGTTTGGCTACAGCACATCCTCATGGACTTGTGACGTTAGTCTGCAGCACCAAGACGTGCTATGAGTAGCACTATGGAAGCTACTTTGACTCTAATAACAATTTGTAGGCATCCGCTGCTTTATGACACACACAAGATAATGATGATGCGTCAAAGTCACGTATATAACCTTTGCATACGCGAGTAAGCACGCTACACACTACGGGTTCGTATCAGCTTCTTGAGCTGCGCTGTATTGAGGCTCGATCCGTCGCACCGAACGCTCAGAAGGCAGTATCCACCGTCTGCTTAAAAGTTGATGGGCTTGTCAAAAGTGGCAAGGCAGGCCTCCTTAAACGCCTCGCTTAGCGTCGGGTGGGCGTGGCACGTGCGCGCAAGGTCCTCACTGGCAGCGCCATATTCAATGCCGATCACACCCTCCGAGATCATCTCACCGGCATTACTGGCAATGATGTGCACGCCAAGCAGCTTGTCCGTCTTCTTGTCAGCCAGTACCTTCACCATACCGTCGGACTCGGCCACCGTGCGGGCACGGCTGTTAGCCATCATCGGGAATTTGCCGACATTGTATTCCACGCCTTCTGCAATTAGCTCTTCCTCCGTCTTGCCTACCGAAGCAAACTCCGGAAATGTGTAGATGACACTGGGGATAGCACCGTAGTTCACATGGCCGTGCTTCCCGGCAATGTTTTCCACGCAAGCAATACCCTCCTCCTCGGCCTTGTGTGCCAGCATAGCGCCCTGGATTACATCACCGACGGCAAAGATACCAGGTACCTGTGTACGGAAGGCGTTATCGACCTCAATGCGGCCGAGCTTGTCCGTCTGAATACCCATCTGTTCCAGTCCGAGGCCAGCCGTAAAAGCACGACGACCAGTGGCCACGAGCACAGTATCACACTCAATAGTAGAAGCATCCCCGCCCTTTGAGGGCTCCGTCGTGAGTTTGACAACATCACCATTAACCTCTGAAGCCGTCACTTTGGTATTAAACTGAAAATCCAGTCCCTGTTTCTTCAGTAACTTGGTAAACTCCTTGACTGATCCCTTGTCCATGCCAGTACAGGCAGTATCCAAGTACTCAACGACAGTGACCTTGGACCCTAAACGTTTGTACACTGAGCCAAGTTCAAGTCCAATAACACCAGCCCCAATCACGACAAGATGCTCGGGTACACGCGTAAGTGCGAGAGCGCCTGTGGAGTCAACAATTTTACCAGCAGCATTATCCACCGGCACAGGTAACAATGGCGTTACTTCAGAGCCTGTCGCCAGCAAAATATTCTTGGTCTTAACAGTCTCATTGCCCTTGTTGGGCTCACTCAACGTCACGGAAATGTCTCCTTGTGCGACAATCTTTCCAAATCCTTTGATATACGTGACTCGATTCTTTTTAAACAGACTTTCAATGCCACTTGTCAAGACCTTGACAGCTTTTTCTTTGGCTTTCATCATTTGGGGAAAATTTGCCGTTACTTCAGGCGCCTCAATGCCATATTTTTGAAACTCGTGTTGGGCCGTATGTAACAAATGGGTCGAATGAAGTAACGCTTTCGATGGAATACACCCGACGTTCAAACACGTCCCTCCTAAGGTCCCACGTGCTTCAATACAAGCCGTTTTAAGCCCCAATTGGGCTGCTTTAATTGCTGCCACGTATCCACCTGGACCACCACCAATCACGACTAAATCATACTCGGATGAAGTGGATGAAAAGACGCGGGTCGTTGGAGAAGCGTACGTTACCACGGAACGACGGGAGATGGAGCTTAAGTTGCGCAACATTAGCAATGACTGGACAAGGGGGATGAAGTTGCGAAAATGATGGTCATATATGGACGGGTGGGATGAAATCGTACTTAGAAGAAGGAGAGTGGAGGATTTTTTTCTGGAGGTTGTGATTGGATAAAAATTAATAACTTGGTCTACGAGGGGGAATTTTTTTCTTAAAAGGTAGAAAATATGCATAATTTTTTTTATTCTATGGGTTTTTTGTTTAATTGTGGCATTATGTTGCAGATGTAGCACCTATCTTTTGTAAGTTGTTGGCAATATAAAGTACCATCGCGAGGAATCGTATGATAAAAAGAAGATGTATGAAACCATCCCTAGACGAATGATAGACCTAATGCCGGCCGAGAAAGAACCAACTTTTTCATCTGACTGACGTCGTTCGTTCGACATGGTACATTTTGTGTGAATCGTTGGTGTCTTTGCTTGTCAAAGAGGTAGATAGATACCAATTAATTTTGCACATTTTCAAATGACTTTGAGAAACTGGTATATTTTTGGCAACGGTCAAGTCAAGAACTGTCATACGATGTGTTGAGAACGTTACATAATATTGACACTTATATGAAGTGTCAATAAAAATATTATTATAACTAATAATATTTGACAATATTATCTTTTCTTATAATATTGTTCCTAGATCTTAATATTGTTCCTAGATCTTGTCAACATACATAGTTGTAGTTTAATATAGTTAACATAGGTTATGACAGATTAGTTTTATTAAGATAGTTAACTATATTAAATACAGTTTTCTTTTCCTCTACTTCTAACCGTATCGTTTAAAAGTAAAGCTTCCTCTGCCTCTTGTGTAAGAGAGGTAATTGAGGCACCTGATTTCACTGTAATCAGTGAAAGTATACTGTACTGTAATCAGTATAGTCGGAGGGTGCCCCAATACACCTGGTAGCACTTCGTGGTCCGTTCAGCGACCACCGCTCCATCCGCTATGGAATCAGTGGGTGATGAACGTCATCACGCAACGCGTGATGATTTCCGCCATTTGAGTGACCTCGAATGGAATGCGGTTCAGCGTATGGCTGAAACCATCGGCAACCTTGCCGTTGGTGCCATTTTGCTCTCTCTTAGCGGATACGACTAACATGCAACCATCGCCAAGTTCATACAACATGAACTTGACGAAGTTGTAAATAAACTTACCTCGCTACAGGAGCAAGGTTCTCAAAAGGTTGACCTGTTGAGAGAACAAGGCGAGTGACTTGTTGATGCAGCAGGGTGCTAAACAGTCTGAACTGTTGAGACAACAGCAGGCTAGTGCTGTTGCTGCCGGGTCGACGTATAAACGGCGACCCGAGTCCTTGAAGATTGATGTCTCCAAGTACAAGGCAGTCGAAAGCGACTTTTTGTTAAGATGGTTCGTCGAGCTCGACGATGCCATTGAGGCCCGTCGAATCGATGACGATGCGATGAAGGTCAAGTTCGCCATGTCGAACTTGGCAGGACGTGCCAAACTTGGGCCTCAGGGCTCAAAATGCACGACCCATACGTTTTCCCAACGTATGACGTCTTCAAGGCGCGGCTCAAACACACGTTTGAACCGCCTCGCGCCGAATTCAGGGCTCGGGCTGAGATCCTGGATTTGAAACAGGGTAAGCGTTATATACACGCTTACGCCCAACACGTACGATACCTCGTTAGCTGTATCGTGCTGAACCCAATCGATGAGCACACGCAGGTTACTGTGTTCATCAAGGGTCTGACAGATGGTCCTGTTACGACCCACCTGTTCCGCTTGGAACTAGAATCGCTGGACCAAGCTATCTCTGCAGCGGAACAGGAGGACTTTAGCCTACAACAGGCTCACGTCCACTCGGGATCCTATCGTCCACCGAGACGACAGGAGGGCGGAGGTCCAGAACCAATGGACCTCTCCTATGTAGAGAGCGAGCGACCTCGCTCTCCAGGGTACAAGCGATTGCAAAAGTGCAATCGCTGTCAGAAGTTGGGCCACTACGCTTATGAGTGTAGTGCCCCACGCCCAGTGTCTCGTAACACTGGGAGTGACGATCGACCGTCTGCCAAGAAGGGCCAGAAACGTGGGTCTCACGTTGCTGCGAAATCGCAACAACGTGGTGGACAATCAAAAAACGGTCGGGGTCAGTAGGGCTCCGCCCCTACTGATCCAGCAACGTTAAGAGAGTTCGCGGAACTCTTGACGAAGGTTGATCCCGACACACAGTCACTGTGTGTTGCCACTTTCAGTGATGAGGTATCCCTCATCGCATTGAAGATCGAAGTGACAAAAAATGTCACTTCGCGCCCTAGTTGATTGTGGGCTTCGAACAACTTTGTTCGATGCCAGTCGCTAGATGATCGTATGCTCAAATATGTTGAGCGCGAGACCCCTCCAACGAGGATGAAGGTGCGCCTTGCAACTGGCGCATCCGTAACAGTAAAAAACGTGTAGTGGTAATTTGCTACACGCTTGAAGGCAAAAAGTACGATGATGATTTCATCGTACTTGATCTGGATGACAAATTTGATGTCATCCTAGGATTACCATGGCTCAGAAGGTACGAGCTATGGGTCAGCTGGCAGCTGGTAGCATCGAACCGTGAAGATGCCTGCCGCTTGTTCATCAGATGGCCATCTGATGAACGTCTTGGAGCGTTCACAAGCGTGTGAATGTACTACGAGTGAGTGTGATGGCCTCACTTGTGGTTCGGTCGTTAGTACGACGCACAAGAACTCAGCGTGACAGACAGTCACGCTGTGGAGCAAGCTGCCGGCGGCTGTGCACAAGCACAGGCAGCGCCGAAGGTCCACCACTCGAATAAGTCGAGTGGACCAAGACATGAATGCTCGCCTAGAGGGCAGCATTCACCGAAGAGTAAACCGGTTGCCCAGAAGAGGCAACACGGTAATCCTAGATCAACTGGAGAGTTGATCGTAGAGGATCTCGCTGTGGTTGCGCCACAACAGCTAGAGGAAGTCGATGGAACAAGTTCCATCGAGCCTGCGGGAATAAGTCCCCAGGAAATAATCACTGAGGGAATAAGTCCCCAGTGCCCTGAGGGAATAAGTCCCCAGGAGGAAACCGAGACGTTGAACGTCTTGGTCAATGACGGATCAAACGTAGGCGCTTATACGCTTGATCTGATCGCGCCTCCGAAGTTAACTTCGGAGATAACTCAGTTGCCTACGCTAGAACCTAAAAGGTTCTTGCGTGATCTGCGTAGTGGCAAAGTCAAGCAGATCTGTGTGCTCGTCGCAGAGGACGAGTACATGACTGACATTCGGTCAGCAACAGTTTTTGCCGAGAACGAACGGGTTCTCAGCAGCTCATCAATGGACGAGAGTGTCCTTGATGAGAAGACTCGGATTGAACGATATACATCGCAATCCTGGGAGTCGCTGAAGTCAAATCCTTTGTACAAGGATTTGGTCGAATTCAAGGATGTATTCCCTGAATCCGTTCCGTGCGAGTTGCCTAAGCATAAAGGTACTCGACACGAGATCTACCTTGTTCCTGGCACAAAATAGTGTGTCATGAAGCAGTGGCCACTGCCTCGGGAACAGGTCGAGGCGATCGAAAAGTTCTTTGCCGATCGCCTAGCAGCGGGCCATGTGAGGGAGTCAACTTCACCTCACAGCTCTCCGACCTTCTGTGTGCGCAAGGCCACAGGAGGGTGGCGGATAGTGCACGCGTTCAATAAGTTGAACGCTGCAACGATACCGGCGCAAACGCCGATACCGAGAAAGGACGTAATCATAGATGGTATGTCTAAGAGTACCATCTTTTCGTCCATGGATCTGATGGATGGTTTCTATCAGATCCTAATGCGTGAACGGGACATCCCGTACACAGCAGTGAGCACTCCCAGTGGTATGCTCTGGGAATGGTTGGTGATGCCGCAAGGGCTCAGTAATGCACCAGCCACATTCAATAGATGTGTTTCACATCTATTAAGACCGATGCCCGCATTCGCACCGAGTTACTTCGATGATGTGTTCGTCCATAGCCGGGCTATGGTCGGGAAAACAGACGTGGAAGTCCATAGGCTCCACGTCCGTAAGGTTCTTACACTTATGCGCGAGCATAAGTTGTACGCCAACCTCAAGAAGTGTATATTCGCAGCTAGCGAAATACCACTTCTTGGGTGCATCGTCGGAAAGAACGGCGTACGCCCTGATCCAGAAAATATTAAGACGATCACCGACTGGAAAGTGCCAGTCGATGTTGTGGAGAAGTGCCAGAGAAATGGGGGGCCCTTCGTAGTTATTATAATAACTGGCGGGAAAGATCTCGGTCACTCTCTTGAATGAGTGACAGGGAGTGACCAGGGTCCCGATTTGGTCCAAGGTCCCGAGTTCGGAGAAGATACTAGGATGCCCTACACTACAGACCAAAGGACCAGTGCTGCTAGGACAGCTTAAGTTGACCCCAGGTAACAGGTGGATCCCAGACAACAGGTGGACCCAGGTGACCGGTGGACCCCAGGCAACAGGTTGACCCAGACAACAGGTGGACCCAGGTGACCGGTGGACCTCAGGTGACAGGTGGACCCCAGGTAACATGTGGACCCCAGGCAACATGCGGACCCCAGGTAACAGGGGCCCAGGGGTACCAGGATACTAGGGCTCAGGGGCCTAGGGGTGCCAGGGTACGGGGCCTACCAGGATACTAGGGCTCAGGGGCCTAGGGGTGCCAGGGTACGGGGCCTAGGGGTACCAGGGTGCCAGGGTACGGGGCCTAGGGGTACCAGGGTGCCGGGGCCGAGGGGCCTAAGGGTACCAGGGTACCAGGGTACCGGGGCCTAGGGGTACCAGGGTGCCGGGGCCCAGGGGCCTAAGGGTACCAGGGTACCGGGGCCCAGGGGCCTAGGGGTACCAGGGTGCCGGGGCCTAGGGGTACCAGGGTGCCGGGGCCCAGGGGCCTAAGGGTACCAGGGTACCGGGGCCCTGGGGTACAGGGGCCCAAAGGTACCGGGGCCTAGGGGTACAAGGGTGCCGGGGCCCAGGGTACCGAGGCC